ATATTAACATATTATATAATATTTTATTATATATAATATATTGTTTAGTATGTAACAGTACAACATATTAGCATATTACATCCGTATATTTTAAGAAAGTAAAACCAAAAAAAAATCTGTCTTACAGAAAATTTTATTTTAAAACTATCTTTTAAGTCTCATTAAGTTTCCTTTTAAAAATAGAAAAAATAAAGTATTCTACAGGTGCCAGATGTACCTCCACAGTGAAGGCTGAGTTCTCTACTCAGTGCATGATCCATCATGTTTTTTAGTCATAGGAATTTTCACAATTCCTTAGAATGTAACATGAACTTTCTAGCTTACAAATAAATCCATTCTATTAACTAAGAATTGTAATATTAAACCCTATAGATAATCCACATATTTATTTTCAAAAGCCTTTTATAGTTTCATACTGAATTATGAGTTTGACTCAAGGGGAAGTTACAAATTCTTGAGCCTTTGGAGTTCTGCAGGCTGTTGCTACATTAACTTCTGGGTTATACACGCCTTTTCTCATGCATGCCCGGCAAACTCCAAACTAGAGCAAGTTCTTTAGCCCAAAGATTGTGATAACATTAAAACAAATCCAGTATCCTATTCAAAACAGACTTGCTAAAAGTAAAAGAACTACACTTTGCTTTTGTAAAGCAAAACAATGTATATAGAGCCCATTGCCCACACATTCACAGAATGTCTCAAGATCCCAGTTTTGGTAATCTCTCCCTCTCCCTGGGCAAAGCAGGGAGTTCACAAGCATGCCACAAGATGGGTAACCTCCTACCAGTCACTCACACACACTTAAGGTATAGGATCCTTTGATCCTTTTTTCCAGAAACAAGAGGAGGTGGGGAGGAAAGCTCAACTCTTAACTGTTCTGTTTCCTTCTTATATTCTGACATCACAAGCCTTTTCTTCTCTTTCCATAACCTTCTCTATCATGTAAAATGTTTCCTCTGATAGGCTTTATGTTTGACATTGTTCAGTTCTGAAGCATCACCAAGCAACAGAAATGTTAAGATGCAACAATGTTCTTTTTTTCAGTGTAAACAATATGTATTTTCTAAGGTCTGCAAAAAGATTTAAAATTTGCATTAAATCTGAAAGTTAGCCTTCAAAAAATAAAACCTTTCCAAGACTCCAGAAATAAATGCTAAAGAAAACGTCATTTTCTTATTATTTTCACCGGAGAGCTTCAGTGAGAATCAGAGACAATCACAACTTCCTACTGTTTCAACTTTGGCATAGTTCTGCTTCTACTTCCTGAAAAGAGATTCCACTTTCCCCAAAAACTCATTTTCCTTCCCAGTAACTATTTTGAAGTAGCCGAATTGTGAGCATTCTATTAAGAACAAAAATGGTTTGCTGTTAGGAAAATTAGGAAAAGAAAAAACTTGATAAATACAATTAGAAGAATATCATTATTAAACTATATGCATCCTAAAAGTCACTGCTCTGTTTTATCTGCAAAACATCTTATATATACACACAGTGCAGTGCCCAGTATTTGTAAGAGAGCACATCGCATGCTATCACACAGAGGCACTCAAGCGTTCCTTCCCTATCACAGACCCAATCTACATGCCTATCAAGTGATGTTTTTCCAGCAATTACTTTTTGGTCATACAAGAGAGGAATTTCAGGGCTCTAAGTCTATGAGACATAAAGCTAAAATTAAACCTGACCCTACATATCAAAGCCAGCATTGTACTTTAAAAGTCTAAAAGAAGTCAAGCCGTGGTGTGACAGGGTTAACAATCAGCTGGTCTGTGTAGCAACAGCACTGCATATGCTCTAACTTAATGCATTTTCATATGCTTCCATACTTGCTTGGAGCTAACAACAATCATCTGTTTCATTCTTTAAGATCCTAATTTCATCTTAAATTTAAATTCTAAAGTATGTGCACTTACTCACTTGACCATAATGGCTGTCCTCATTTAAGACTTTTAAAGCAATCCCAAGACTAAGTAATTGCAAATACAAAGTGTAACTGTGGGTTTACCTGCATTCAGTTCATTTGAATTAGTGAGCTTGTTACCATGGGGTTCAAGTAACAGCTTGAACCAAAGATATGAAACCAAAATATGAAAAGATTCTCCCTTCTCAAAGAAGCCACTATTTCTACTACTAATAGTAAATTCTTTCAAAGCACTCTGGAGACTGACCTCTTTTTCATCTGCCAACTGACAGCTACTTTCAATCCGTAATTCTAAATTATTAAATTAGTCACAGAGTTAACAACATCAAAGAAAGAACACAGAGATGAGGGAAACACTGCAATCTAAACAAATTGCACAATAAAGGATATTCATGATATAGAACATATTTAGGAACAACAAAGATCTGCTGCTTCCAGATTCTAGTTCTTGCCTGCCCTCTCACTCTCTTTCCCAAAATGAAAAGCAAAATTAAATAATCATGCTGAATATGCTTTAAAGATGTGGTGGGCTGACCCTAGTCAGCAGCTAAGCATCCACACAACCAGAACCAGTATAAAAAAACCTTTCCACATCCAAAGTATCCTATACCTTTATATATTTCTGTATCTACAGAAGCTGACTGCAACTTTTCTCTTCAAATTATTGTATCTCTGTGCATTGTATAGAGCAGTTCTGAAACAGTATTTCCATACGTCTTGCATTGCAATGACACTATTGACACCTTCAGGAGTAGGAGTCTCCCAGGAGTACATGACAGAGCAGCTCCCTCCTCCACCCTAGTGCTCCAGAAATAGACAAGTCATTGCTAGAAAGCATTTTTCAGAAAGCAGAGTTTTCTAAACATTGAATATGGAGAAGAGAACAAAGAGAGGAGAAGCAGCCTATTCCTACTAAACTGAATTTCAGAAGCTTAAAAGACAAACAAGGTTGAGAATTTTTAAAATAAAAATGAGAACAGGTACTTCATACAGCTATATATGTGATAAGGAGTAAAATCGAAGTTGCTTATTATGCTACACTGATTATTCCTCAAACTATCTTTAAATAACGACCCCTCAGGGATACGTGCTCTCAGCTGTTATAAAAGAAATCGAAAAAAAAACAGACATAGGTATGTAAATACATTGAATAAATGTGTCCTGTTTTCTTTCCCCTTACCTTTTCCTCTTCCACACTTAAATACAGCAACACCTACCGAGACAACTATGTTTTCCAGCAGCTCTTTTGCATCTTCTTGAAAGAAGAAAAGTCCCTTCGATTTCTGTAGCTATCAAGAGACCGCCTTTTTTTTTTCTTCCCTCCTCCTCCTCCTCCTCCCCGCGCCAAGCCGTGTTCCTCCGGGGCAGCTCCCCGGACCGAGGGACAGCGGGGCGGGAGGCAGAACGCCACCGAGGAGACCCAGCACCACCACCTGCCTTTCACACCGGCCCATTCGAGAATGCCAACTACATTAACCCGGCAAGCAGCTCTCTCAAACTTTTGCAGCGAACGGCATCATATGCTTACTCTCACTTCATCATGGAGAAAAAGATGATGACAGAAAAGAAATTAAGGACATGGTTAACAGCACCTTCATTGTTAATCAATATAAAGAATATTAATTCTGATTATGTTTTACACGATCTTCTAAATTGACGTTAAAATTTAGATTTACTGCAGTGTTCAAGTTGCCTGGAAACTTCTCAGAAGCAGAGAATCCCTACTAAAAAGAAATAAAGCTCATCCCCAACACAACAACCTACAACGAAGGATTTCTGTTGTACCTTTAAAGGTCAGACATATTTCACATGTTAAGCTACTTCTCCAGAGGGTCGTCAAGTAACTACTGAGCTACAAGAAGATTCATAGACTGAAAATCCAGATAACTCTGTGGTTACGTGTTGGCACATTCCCCTCCCTACAATTCCGGCATTTCACCGAGGTCAAAGAAAAGCTGTCACATAAAACGACTTCATTTAGGACTGGAACAAACCGGCCCCCCAACATAGTCTAGAAGTCGATCAAATATACAACTTACAAAAAAAAAAAATTTTTTTTTTTTATAAGAGAGCCTGGCTACCCTTTATCTCCTTCAAAAGCGTCAAATACTACCAGGAAGTGGGACAGGAGAGCCAGGCATGGAGCAGAAGTCGAAGCGAACTACTTTTTTCAGAAATAAGGCCCCTCCCCGCCCCCATCGTACACGCTGCTGCCCTTATATTCCAGTTCATCCTCTTTTCCCCCCGCCACTGAGATTTCCCTACCGGTCCCAGGGAACTCTCGGAGCTCCCTGCTCAGCCGTGTTTTCCCCAGCCCGGCCGCGCGTGCTCCTCCGCCCCCGCGACCCCCGGGCCCGCCCGCTCACCGTTCCTCAGCTCGTGCTTCACCGTGAGGAGCGGCAGCTCCGCTTCCCCCGAGGGTCCCTCCATGTCCTCACGGGCGGCTCCCCTGCCGCTCCCGTGAGCGCGGCGGCGGGGCGATGTCACCTGGCCCGAGATGTGTCTATTTTCCAGGGGCACTCCGGGGCAGAGGAGCCATGCAGGCGCGCTGGGGTCTGCCGCTCTCCCCTCCGCCTCGTTGGTAATCGGGGAGGGGGGAAGGGGGAGGCGGACGCGGGGGAAGAAAACCCCAAACGTACACCACCCAACAACAAACAGTTATTAAAATCTAGGGAGGCACACGCACGACGGATTCCCTCCCCCGGCGCTCAGAACCAGCCCATGTCCTTGCGCCTCCCCTCCCCCGGGCTCCGGCCGCCCTCCCCGCCCGACAGCGGGGAGCGGAGCCGAGCGGAGCCGAGCGGAGCCGGATAGGCAGAGCGGCCCGGGGGGAGGAGCGGCAGCGCCGCGGGGAGCGGCTCCAACTCAGGCGCTCGCGCCCCCTCCCTCCCCGGGCCGGGCGCTCATTGGCCGCGCGCGCCCGCGCGCCCCGGCGGCCGCCGGGCAGAGAACGCTCCCCGCGCGCCGCCCCCGCCCTTCCGCCGAGCGCCGCGCGCCCCCATTGGCTCGACAGCTGCGCCAACCGCCGGCCCCGCCCCCCGGCTTCCCCCCGGCCCCTCTACTCCCCGAGCTTGTTTGTAAACATTCCCGCCCGCCTCGCCGCTGACCCCCGACCCCCGCGGGAGGCGGGCGCGGCGCTGCCGAGAGGTAAGGGAAGGCGCTGATTGACCGCTGGAGCTGGCAATCACCTGAGGGAGGGGCCATGGCGCTCTTCCTCGCGTTACGGGCGGGTTCCATCGTACTCGAAGGGGGGAGCGGCCGTGGGCTGACCCACTCGCAGTAGCGGTCGGGGAGGAGCTGGGCTCCAGCCTGGCGCGGGAGATGCGGCAGCGGGATGGGAAGCGGGGTATCTCCGCGGAGGGGCAGGGAGCAGCGGGGCACAGCCGGGGACGGGGGGATTCCCGCAGGGCCCCGGCCGCCCGCCCGTTGAGCCCCCGCCTCCCCGCACGCGTGTGGACCCGCGGCGGCGGCGCGGCCGGGCTGGAGAGCTGCGGCACAGCGATGTGTCCGCCTGCAGCACAGCGCTGTGTCCCCCTGCAGCACAGCGGTGTGTCCGCCTGCAGCACAGCGCTGTGTCCGCCTGCAGCCCGCGGCCGTGCGCCCCGCGCTCAGGGGCCCCGCAGCACGGGAGCGCGGGTGGCGCGGCGCACGGTGCACGCAGGGCCCCGGGTCGTGCCCGGTGCCGCATTCGCACTTGGCCGGGGCCGTGGAGGGGGCGGCGAGCGTAGTCGCCTCTTGGGAGGCCGAAGAGGCCGCACGTAGTCGAGTTCAACCAGCCTTGGTGATCGCTGGAAAGGCGCACGGCCTGCAGGGTTATCGCGGCTCAGGAGGTGCCTGGCAAGGGCTTGCTTGCCGTAAGGTGGGAGTGGGCGAGGTTGCTGGGTAGGTATATCCGTGTGCCCCGTTCGCCTTGCCTTGCCTGGGGCGCGTTCATCTGCTCCCTTTAGCTGCGAGAGAGACACTGTCCTCACAGAGGGTTTTGTTTGTGGTGTTGGGGAAGATACGGTTCAAAACACATCGGATCTGTTCATCTGAGTTAAGCCTCTCAGTCTGTTATGTTCTGGAGGCAATCTGGTATTTCTAAAACTGTCCTAATTTCCTTGCATCAGATAACGCAAATTACTTATCTCTCCCTTTCTTATTTACGGTAATTTCTGACTCGTTGCTCTTGAATGCCACTGCCTCTATCCTTACACACAAGCTGCTAATTCACAATGCCATGTCTGAGCAGTAGTGTTCACACAGAGTCTAATTAAGTTGCATCAAAGATCAATGAAATAAAATGTCTTATGTTAATCCATTATTCACATTCCAGTATTAAATATTTTTGTGTTTGTACACAAATATGTAAAAAAAGCACGTACATATATACATTTCTGCAATTTCCTGTGGAGAAATTGAGTTTGGCTATTTAAAGTCCGTGAAAGTTTATGCTTCGTAATTATACACCAGACCTCAGGTTTATGGTGCCTTTGCAGTTGACATCCCAGAAATGAATAATACTGCCTAAGGGTTTCATACTATTTTTGATAAAACTTTTGAAGGTATTTCCCACCAAGCACCGCAGCTGTTCTGTTGAGACACCTCCCTGTGGCATATGATACACATATAACTCCTCCAAAAATGTCCATCCAGTTACTGTGTTTCCACCTGTATTATATCAAAACTATGAAAATAGAAAGTCTGAACATGGGAGATGTTTTCAAACTAAGAATACTTGATTCCCTAACTTTTGTTACTTGTTTTTAGAAGCATCACTATTGCAGAGAAAGTAAATATTATATCAGTATAATATTAAAGGGAATAAGCAGCATTATAGAAAAGGTAAAATGAAAATACTAAATCGATTACATTATTAATTTCTTTATTATTAATATGTTTTTGCATCTTTGTAACTAATGGCTTCTTTGTACATCTGGTGGGGACTGTGAGATTTACTTCTTCATTACAAGGCTTAACAACCACTTCTGATTGTTCCATGTCCCAGGTACTAGATTTTAAAGAGCCTGGTGCTGTATTTCATGCAGTGGCTCTACTAGCCTACACTTGGACTAACTGTCCCTGGCAGCCTCAGAGGAGAGAAGCTGAAATCTGACTCCATTTACCAGCACTCAATGTGAAGGGTGCTGGCATTGAATCCAGTAGTTGTTAATAGTCTCGGTTTCAGATGTTCATAGCTTGACAGGCTATATCTGTTTATTTGCCCCAGGCTGAAAATTTCTCCTTTCAAATTTCAGCTAAAACAGCTTTTAAATATGATGCAATAACCCTAAAATACCAAACCAAGAATACTGATCCATGCTGACAATGCATATAATAATTTGTCAAGACAGCATACCATTACTGAGCTATGCTAGCCTCCGGCTTGGATGTACAAAGCCATTGCCTGGAAGAATACTGGCCAGGGACACAACGATTCCTGGAAGCACTCCAGCAGTCAGAAGTATGGATAGTCAGGTGCCAGCACTGATTGGGCTTTTGTCCTGTTTTAATCACTGCACAGACTGTCACAAGAGTCAGATGATGGAGGAAATTTGGCTCAAGCCTGCAGCCATAGCAGCGTGAGAAAGCCAGGAAGAGTGGTGGGCTTAGACCCAGAGGGAGTACAGACTGGTCTGTAAGAGATATCTTGTTAGTTTGGAGAAGTAAAACCACTGTTGGTATGTTAACTGTGTTTTTAGAAGGGCAGTTTAACTGACTGAAAGTTTTTTTGCATTTAAATACATTTGTGTGTATGCTGCAACACTGAAAAAAACCTACTGCTTGTATGATGTGCATACAATAAATTACCCCTCTGGTATAAAAGGAAAAATATTTGATGTTTAAATGATTAAAAGCTATGGGGCAGTGCAGAGCCACTCATGTACCAGAGTGTAAATGGTTTGTGTTTTTTAAGCAGTATTTTCATATTCATGTGCACAACCCAACAGGTCAGTCAGCCAACAGTTCAGTGTTTGGGCTGAGCATGTGCTGCGAGTTTGGGAATATGGAGTAACACCGTTCTAAAGATAGATGTCCCTTCTCTACCCCACAACACAACTGTTAAAAAATATGTGTGTTTACTTGCCATTCCTAATTGTGAAAAGAGGGAGGAAAAAAATGCTGTGGGAAATTCCCACATGGAAAGATATTGTTGAACTTCATTAAAGAAAAAGTGTCACAACATTTTCTTTTTGGTTCTAAAAGAGGTGGTGTGCCAAGCTGGTTTGAAGGCTGAGGTGAAATTGAAATGCTCAGTGCACAGCCTTCTGAGAGGAAATGAGAGAGAAAAAGAAGAACATGAGTGTTAGAGCTGCATATTTCCAGGGTGCCAGGGCCTCACAGTTTTGAGGTATTTGATTTACTTTCTTTCTGAAGGGGAGCTGCTTATGGAAATTTTCATTTCTATGGAGCTAAAGTTGGAGGTGTTTGGTGCTTTCTTGTGGTCATTGAATTGCTACAGAGATAGGTGTTATTTTCAAAGGACAGATTTCTGAAAGGTAGATAATGCAAAATGCTCTCCTTAATCACTCCATGGAGAACATTTGCATAGTAGAAGAAAAAAGGATTTGGAAACCACAAAATGAATTTAGGGAAGGACTCACTGTGAAAGACAAACATGACATGAGACAGCTTTTGTGAGAAATTTTAGTATACTATTAGTTCTAGTTTTTAGTTTGCATATCTTCTCTGTGATTTTTATCTTTTGTTTAATCTGAATCTTTAATTGAACATTCTGTGCTTGATAACTGTCACAAAAGTAAACTGGGTAGGTATACTTGCTGTTAAAAGTATTTTTTATGAAACTGCTCTGGGCAACAGTTTTATCTCTCTAAAACCACTTAATGTTTTTACCATGAAAGGAGAAGTTATGCTAAGCATCCAAGTCTAATAATTCTCTTAACGGAAGTGGTACAGCTCTGTCAGGAAGTGGATCATTTCTTGAAAGAGTGCATTTAAGCATTACTGCTTCTAGGGTCCCATTTCAGTTAGTATTAATTTCTTCAATGAAAAGTGATTTTTTTTTTCTTCAGTCACCGTACAGTTGCAACTACCATTATTAGAGGCAGCACTTTCAAAAGTTTAATTACTAAAAGTCTATGTGCTTATAAAAGAGGAAAAAAAATATTGTCATGTTCTCAGTTTCTGATAAGGAAAAGGAAAAAAAAAATGAATGCTGTCCATAGGTGAAAGAAAGCACTAGCCATTGAAACAGAAATAGGGGTTTATTTCACTTTTTGAATTGCTAAAGCTTCTTAAGGTAGGCAGAAACGTAATTTCTGTTTAATAAAAATGATTGACTTTTGTATCCTAATCCTCACTCACAATAGTTTGATTTTTTTTTTTCAGATTTGTTGGAGGGAACACAGAGGAGTGTTCTACATAATGTTGTCATTAAACCTCAGTAATATTCACTGAGTAAACTCAAAGTCCTTTAGGAAAAGACCTGCATGTGAATTCTCACTGTTTTGAAAATCTACTGCCAACTTTGGTGAAGGGGACTTTAGAAAGGAGAACTTAATCAAGGTGATCTGAAAGCTAGTGACGATGAAATAAAAAACTTTTAACTCATGATGAAGACTGTGAGTACATTCTGATAGTTGCAGAAGTTATGGTTCTGTTTTCCTACCCCAGAGAAGGAAGCATAAACATGAGAAAAAAAGTGTTTAAATGGCAGAACTTCAAGCTGTGCATAGTACTTCTTAAAGAGAGCCTGCAGAAAAAGTGTGAAAAGAAGCGCCGCATGAAATGAAGGGGGAAGGAGAATTTTTGAAAGGCATAAATGAAAAATAATAAATTCATTTCCACAAGTTTTCTTCTAATGATGTATTTAAAGGTATCTGTTAAATTACCACAGAGCAAAAAGAGATTTAATGAAGGGAACAATTATTACAGAGGTTCCTTTCCCTTTATCTTGAGAAAAGCTGTATGATTATTGATTTTGAGTCTATTCTTTGAAATTTAAAAAGATAAGAGGTCTCTAGGAATTGAAATAACAGAAAAGAAAATCTGGAAACAAATGGATAAATTAAGATAATACGTTTCAAACTCAATTGCTGTATCTCCTGGAGTTTGAAAGGAACTTGGAGCTCCTCAGAAAAAAACCAAAAACTCCCATTAGTTTCAAGTACTATATTAGGTGACGGGAAGGCACCTCTTTAACGTAGAGTATTATAATGTTTTGTAATATAATACAATATGATTTAATATATGCAGCATTACAACTAAAAACAGCTTTAAAGGGACCAGGAAAATGTTTTGATGAAAGATTTGAAAGATTACCCTTAGTTTTAAAGAACAAAAAGAAACAAAAATGTATTAGAAAATCAGCAGATAAATACTTCCATTAACATGATCTAGATGTAAAATACTATTGGGAAAAATCAAGTAGCAGAAACTATGAGAGTCAATTACAAATTTTCAATACATCCAACTACATGAGGATTTTTAACTTCACCTATATAATTGATGCTGGCACTATAAATTGTGTGACTTGGGACTAGAACTAACAGATATTGAAGCAATTCTATAATTTCATTACTGTTTTCTTAATTTTTTAAATCCCATACTGATTTATTAAACACAGGATGCAAATTAGGGTATCTCTGGCTCAGCATTGCTGTCTCCAGTGCTGGCCAGGAGCAGCTGCATAGTGTCATGAGAGTCTGTGGTTTAACAATGCAGTTTCTGAATAAAGACCTCTATTTGCTTGCTTTGACTTTGCCATTTGCTAATTTCATCTGATGACCCATAATTATTTGGTTACAAAAAAGTGTGAAGAATTGTTACCTTTTATTTCTTCAATGATTTTTTGCATCTGTCCCTATTTCATAGGCATACCCAGAATGTGAAGCAGTAGCTTCACCACCTAAAAATACCCAGTAAAATATTTAGTTTAGATAATCTGCTGTAGAGGTTATGCACCAGGAACTTGGAGGTCTTTGAGCTTTCAATAATCCATGCACAGCCTCATTCATTTCATTTCCTTTTTCTTAAGTAGAGGACTTCTAGGGGAAACCTAGATTATTTAAATGTTAGAACACTCAGTTTTAATACATCTTTTTTCTTTTGTAATGTAAAGTGTTTGCTGTGACAGACTTTGAACAGGGTGTCAAACTCCAGTTGGTCAGAAGGCATTTTACCCTCCTTTTGTAAATTCCCTGGGATTTGCATTTTCTCTGAAGTGTTAGACTTCTATGCAAATAAGTGCCCCATTAAGCAGTTTTCCTTTGGCTGTCATTTATTAAGCCTGGCTAAGAGTGAGGTTTGGCATCCTCCTTCTTACAGTATGTCAAGTTCAAGTTTACTTTTCTGTTGTGGCTGCTTCTTAATGTACTGATGGGGAGCATGACAGCAATGCAGATTATTGACATTGTAAATAACTCCATTAACTCTGAGGTATTTCAACCCCCTCACTCCTGAACATTTCTGAGCTTTATCAAAGATTTATACTAGTAACACATCTCTCTCCATTTTTAAAATAATGCATTCCTATTCAACCAGATTTTATTCCAGACCCAACACTGATTACACAAACTGTTGTAAATTATTTGCTTCCCATTCAACTCAGTGTTGCCTTCCTACAGCTCTAGTGAGATGCATCTTCAAATTGGAAGTCAGATGAGGCAAATGCCACAGATTCTTAGAATTTCTTGTAACATGCAGAGAAGTTAGTGGATGACTTTGATTAAATCACTTCTCTGAGTAACTGTCTTGCTTTAACCCCAGCCAAGCCCACCACCTGCTCACTCCAGGAGCAGGTTTGGGGAGAAAATTGGAAAGGTAGAAGCTGGAAAACCCACAGGTTGAGATAAAGACAGTTTAATAGAGCAAACAGAAGCCACACACATGAGCAAAGCAAAATAAAGGAATTAATGCACTGCCTCCCATGGGCAGGCAGGTGTTCAACTATCTCCACTAGGACAGACCCCCATCACAAGTGATGGTGACTTGGGAAGATGAAATCTGTCATTCCAAATGTGTCCTGCCTTGCTCCTTCTTTCACCCACTTTATATACTGAACATGACACCACATGGTCTGGAGTATCCCTTTGGTCACTTTGGGTCACTTGTCCCTGGCTGTGTCTCCCCACAGCCTCCCATGCACTTCTGATTTCCTTGCCAGCATGGCAGTAGGAAGAGCAAAAAAAGCCTTTGCTTTTTGCAAGCCCTGCTCAGCAATAACAAAAACATCTCTGTTGTCATCACTGTGTTCAGTCAAATCCAAAACACAGCCCCATACTAGCCACTGTGAAGAAAATAACTCTGTCCCAGCCAAAACCAGTTGTATGGCCCCAAACAACTCACTAGATAAGATTTTAACAGGGCTTACAGTTGTTCATGTACTTTGAGTTAGATTCATGGGAGAAATACAAGATATTCTCAGGAGATCAACAAAGAAAACTTTAATGGCAACTCTAGAATTTAAAAGGATTTTGACAAATAGTTTAGAGCAGCATTCAGTCTACATAAACCTCTTGTCAAAGTATTAATTTCACCCATTCAACTTACCAGACTCAAAGCCCATTCAATTTTCTCAGAATTGCAACAACAGAGAAACAGAGAGTGAAAAGAACAAATATAGCTACCAACTCCTGGGTTCCAGCAGTGTTCAACTAAGAGAAATACCAAGAAGAGAAAGATCTAGATATGCTTGCCTCATGTTCAGCCTTAAATACTCCTTGGCCTTCCTGGGCTCTTCCCCCAGGTGATACTTCAGTCATTTGGCCACCCAGGAGCTGGACTGGGAGTTCCAGGGGCAGGTGTGGAGCATTGCCTCCAGTGTGCTGGGGATTGGTATCGTGCTGGGATGCCCTATGCACTGGGAAGAATGATGTCTGAACTCCAGTGATTTCAGAAGGCTAATTAATTACTTTATTATACTATAATTTTATTACACTATATTACACTAACAAGAACTATTACTAACTAACTATATCACTGACTAACTTACCAGAAAACCTGTGACTCTCTCCTGAGAGTCCCACAGCAGTTTGGACACAGCTGTTGGATCCAATTGGTCCATGAATCCAAATAACCATCACCAGAATCCAATCAAGCAATCAGCTTGGGTAAACAATCTCCATACCACATTGCACATGGGCACAAACATAGGCACACATAAGAATTGTTTTCTCTTCTCTCTGTGCTTCTCAGGAAAAAAACCCTGAGAGAGAGAGAATTATGTCTCTCTGTTCAGATTCGTGACTCCTGCAGGGTTGGAGCCCACAGGCCCAATGGGGTGTATGGGACAGGGCACTGCCTCACCAGGGAATGGCCTGACCTGCCTCTTCTACACACGCTTGAAGTGTTTTGAGCCAGCAACCCTTCTAGTCTCTCATGCCAGTGCAGAAACATGTATCTATAACGTGGTGTGGCCTTATAATATCTTCCCACCCAAGAATTTGGTTTTGGCAGTAGCGAGTTGTGAGATGCTTGCTATTATTTTCCTGCATCTTTAGATAACTAGCTGATTAAACTGTTCCACTGTGTGACAGTATTTTTCTTTAGAAAACTGTGATTAGTGGAGGTACTGGTTTGGTTTACGTGTAAGATAAAATAATTACTTTTGGATAACAAGTACCAAAACAACAGAATTATAAATCATTTGAGTTTGGACAGGAACCCACTGCAGTCACTGAATACTATCCTTTGATGGATATTTAAGGAGGAGATGGAGAGGATTTCTGAGGAAATCATCAGAACCTCACTGCTTTGACAAACAGCAAGTGTTAATCCCTTATTTAATCTTGTGTCTCAAGGCAGATCATACCGGTGTTTTCTGTAGCCTTTTATGTACCCTTTTGGACTTCGGCTATGCCATATAAAAGTAATCATACCTCCTCTAAGACAGCAGTTGCCTAATCTTTCCAGTGCCTCTCTTTGTCTGCAGAAATAAATGCCTTCACACCACCCACACACCCCAGGAGAGCAGCCTGCCCCCCACTCCCTGCCTCTGCTATGGTAGCAGCCACATCCATTTGCTTTCAGTTACAGAGTTAAGGGTGTTGTTGTCACAGCTGAAGGTGATGTTAAGTGTCTCTCACATCGTCACTTGTCTTTTCCTATTGTTGCTTTTACCCCTCTATGTTGAAGCTTCACAGTGACTCTTAGATGGTTGAAGCTTTGGGCTACAATTTAATCTGGTCTAGCCTTAAGGATTTGGTTGTTCTGTTTGGTTTTGTAAAACTTTATTCCTGTTTGGATTCTTACATGTGACTAATATAGAAGTCATATACTCTTATTAAACCAGAGCCTTTTCTAGAATAATTATAAAACCAAAACCTTTGAAGAAAGTCAGAAGTATATGTCTATCAGGTACAAAATCAGCCATCTATAAGTGTGGTATCCTCTCTATTCCTGTTTATTTTTAAGAAGGACATTTGAGATGCTTGACTTTTGCAGAGCTCTTGAACCCAAGGTCCCTGAAGTTGACAATGCCCACTTAATGCACTTAATTTCACATATTTTCTTTTGTATGCTTAGTAATCATGGAAAGGATGGAAAGGTCACTGATCATTATATTCTTTGAATTATAGGCTATGCATTTTGGACTTTTATCTATTAAATTATTCAGTCTTGAAATAAATGTTTAATTTGGAACAGTTCACTTTATGTGATCAACCATGGAATGAATGTATATATTCATATATAATGCATCTATATTTTTTATATACATATATATATATACACTTTTTTTTTTGCCTAGATTTTGAAACCAAGTAGAGATCACTATATTTTCCTCCTTCAAAAGGAGTGGAAATTATTGTGTAATATTACCCAAACTGAAGCTGGATCTACTCAAAATGCTTGCCTTTTAAACTTTCCACTAAATGGGGGAGGGGTGGGGAGAGAATCATGTTTGTTGTTTGATGTAAAGGACACCGATTTATTTATTTTTATATATGGTTTCATGTTCTTCTATATGCCTTCTGGTAAACTGTATCTTTGATGTCTAGCAAGAAAGTCTCACTTCTTTCTAGTCTTATAACTTAATGCTTCAGTGAGCTTGCATTACTTCTGACAATTTTCACATGGACACAATGATTGTATGTCTCATATATCTGCAGTTTGAAGTACTTAATAGATTCGAAATCAGCCTTGTATAGCAAGCTTTCTATGTCAAATTCAGTTAATTTATAAAGACAAGTATTATGAGAATAAAAAAGAAATTTCCATTAGGGAAATCTGTCAGTGGAGAATGGAGTTTGAAAGTCATTAGGTACCATCATCTCTTCAAATGTTTTAGTAGTAGTAACTATTTTTTTAACAGCAGTCTCCTACTGCTCCATCAGTCTGACTGGAAATCACAGCAGTTTCTAGTAACTGATGTCTGTTCATCTTCCTTTTAACTGATTAAAATCCTCTTTTCAATCTGTAATGAGAAACACCTTGGTCCTGTATTCAAATTATAATGTTCTTCTGTCTTTGCATATTAATAAAAATACTTCCTGGTAGTTAGGATACAGCAATATACTATAAAATACACCTTGCTCTATATAATTTTGGTTTGGTTATATTTCCAAGTAGTTGAACAATTACCCATTCTGTAGTTTGTTTTTTTTCTCTCCAGAAACACTGTTCCTATATATGCTCCATCTTCAAAATTCCAGGTGGTCACAAAAATGTCTCTTTATACTAACTATATTAAAAGAGAAACTACCTAAATAGGTCTAGGTTTGAATCAAACTCACTGCTCCCTTGCCCTCACAATCAAAATCACACACATTGGACTAATCTTTTGGAGACAAACTCCACAGCTTTTCAGAGTCATTTTTCAAATGCGAATGCTTTATTTTAATTGTACATTTGGACTTGGAGCACATTAATGCAAGCTGCTGAGTGCTTTTAATTTGTCTTGTCTTTCGTCACTGCATATACGGTGTAGTCTGATCCTTCTTTGGGAGAAGTTACTGCTGAAAATTGCTGGAAGACTCATGTAAGATGCTTGTCTCAAGAGGAAATATATCTATTGAATTAGGATCAAAGGAATACCTGTGTTTGTAAATTGCATTCTAATAAAAAAACAGTTTTGCTACTTTTAAATATATTGGCTTTGAAAGTGGAATCCCAATGAAACAGTCCATGCAAAATTCTCAGCAGTTGCATCTAGTTTTCCAAGTAAAGTAATTTTACTTTTACCAGGTAGCTGGTGAAATCCATATGAAACGCTGCAAGCTGCAGTTCTATGGGATAAAGTCCACTTGGATATCAGATTTTACATTAACTTCTACAAAGAAAGAAATGTCCCTTAGCTCCAAAGTTTCTGAACCAGAGGTCATGAAATGCTGGAAGGATAAACCAGCTAGGTTTTGTGAATGTTTTCTCTGCTTTTGAGCTCTTTTTTAAGGTGTGCATTATTGATCACTATCAAAGTCAGGATACTGTTCTAGATGTAGCTTTAATTCTATCTTCTGAAGAATATAGTTTTAATATTTTGAATTATTTGGACTTTATGTATATATTAACTGTACCATGAAACTATTCAGTCTTTATGATGATTCAGTCTCTATAATGTCAATTGCAAATCCATTTCAAAGGAGGATAATTCAGTCAGATCAAAAACTAATGCTCAAACAAACCAAGAGTCTTTTCTCATTTGAAAATAAAATAAACCAAAACTTAGAACACTCTCAATACTTAGGATATATAATAAGAAATGTGAAAAAAGTGCAAGATCAAAAATGGACTCTTTAAAAGAGCCTCCTAATTAGGAATATCAGAAAATGCTTTGGGTTGGAAGGGACCTGGAAAATCATCTAGTTCCAATCCCTCTTCCATGGGCAGGGACACCTTCCACTAGACCAAGTTTCACAAAGCCCCTTTCAAACTGGCCTTGAGCACTTCCAGAGATGGACAGCCTGGGTCAATGCTTCACCACCCTCTCAGGAAAGAATTTCTTCTCAATATCTTAGTTAACCCTACCCTCTTTCAGTTTAAAGATATAACCCTTTGTCCTATCAAATTTGAAATATGGGATATGGAATTTTAAGGTATGTTATTACAATTTCCTATGTGGCTTGTATACAGAAACCAGGAAAAAGGATCAATGGTTGCTAAGCAGACAAAACAGCTAAATCTTATTTCTGAACTGTATGGTTCATCAGTACTAGTTATAACTTATATCAAGGTTGTTAGCTTGTTTCATATACATGTTTATAAAAAGCAAGTGTATTGCTTATATATTTTTCTGTCTTTATGCTTACTTTTCCGTCACATCTTGCTTTATGTAGCTCTGCATATAGGATATGGCTTGTATACAAACATGTATGCAGCTAGTACAGTACAGAAAATGTTTAAGCACTTCATCTGTCCATGAGCTCAATGGGACTAATTATCTGCTTGTCTCTTTTACTTGTATTCATAGAAGTACTAGAGGTTTGAGTCCTTAAATTATAAGCTCTGTGGTAAGGTTTTAGGCATATTTACCTCTATCATATCTGGGAACAAAACTCTAAAAAAATAATAATAGTAAAAGCTTAAACTTTTGTGTCGCTTCTATACAAAATACAGGCTCAATTTTTGAATTAGAGTACACCAAGATACCAATCACTATAGTTTATTTATATCTTTAAAATATAAAATTGGATATATAAGTGTAAAACATTTTCAGCCCTTACCTTCATATTCTTTGGTAATGAAAATAAAAATTATGACATCAGCATCCCTTTCAAGCTGGCTAGCTGATGCTGCAGCATTATGAGTCATCTCTTTTAACACCAAACTGCTTTTTTAGAAAAAAGTTTTAATGGTGAGGTTTGAGGCTAAAAGGTGTACAGATCTTACTCTATTCATGGAACATAGGAAAAAGCAGTAAAAGTTCAGCATTTACTCTTTGACTTAGAAAGGTAGCTCCATTTTTTCAGCATCTTGAGCTCTTTGCTGATACTACTCATGAACACAGTGGTTTGAGATGTTCAGTCTGCCTGCAGTGGACACAGAGGTGTATTGTACATAATTGTGTAAGGCACTGAATAGCTACAGAGTGAGAGTGTTTACTCAACTGATACCTGATCTCATTTCTCACCAGGAACTGTGAAGTTCTTCACTTGGCCTGTGCTGGGACCAGCAGCAGAACAGAGCTCCTGAGCTGCTCTCTTGTTGCATTTGTCGCTGTACTGTCACACTCCCTTGCACTTGCTGCACAGCCATGGTGCTGCTGCCATCAGTGGTGATGTCCCAAGGGTGCCATGGCAGAGTGACTGCATCAGAAACACCCACATGCTGTGGGATCAGGCTGCCCAGGACAGTTCAACAAGGGCCTGTATCCTTTCAGGCCCTTAAAAGTAAGGTACTTGGGAATTTTCTTTGCAGAACACAATGCTTCAGTTCAAGCCCACCTTTCTCCTATGCAGGAGGCACTATGGCAGCCTCTAGCTATGGCCTAACATTCTCTCCTTTGTCAAGGGTTGCTGTGGTGGATGAGGACAGTTGCCCAGTGTAATTACATCTTATACTGGTCTTGAATGACTGTTTTGAATTCAGAAATGGTGAGGGCAACTGTTGACACTCTGCAGCACCAGCACACCACTTGCAGAAGGTCTCTTCTCATGTCATCATGGTTGCCACTTGCCTATAAAATTAATTAATTCCTGATTCCTGTGGATGCCTGGAAGGTCAGGTCAGTGTAGCTTGGTTGAACTGCCACATCATCCAGGTCTTCCATCAGTCACATTACTACACAGCTGAGGTCTTCAAAGGTTCACATGCTGTAGAGTTTCAGTTTCTCTGTATATGCAGGGGAAGAAGAGTTAGGAATGATGTTGAGATCTTCATTCAGGCCTACAGGCCTTACTGTTCAGGATTAAAACTCATTCATTTTACACATTCTTGTTCAGGGATGGTGACGATTATAGTTAATAATTTATGGGGTCTGTGATGCAGTCTACCAAATAAATATGTAACATCTGTGGTTTTCAGAGCTTGGGCATCTTCACTAGTGACAAAGCAGCACTCTCTTCTCCAAAAGGACTGTGGTATTGTCAGCCTTAAAATATATGTCTAATTACTGATAGCACTGCTCGTTGCTATTCCTTCTCATTGTCCTGCTGTACTAAGCGTTGGTCAAACACGCCCTGAGCTCTTACAGATAGAGAAAAAAATGTGTCTGCAGATGCCTGGATGCACCAAACTGCTGAGGGCAGTTTCCAGATCATCATGACAACTATAGTCACCACATAATACCACAGTTGTCAGGTATACATTAATGAAAGTATAGTAATGCAGCCATAATTTGTCCATAAATTGGAATCATTCAAGTTGGAATGGATGCTGCAGAACAGAGTTGTCCAGGTATCCTTGGTGCAAATTAACATCTATTATACAGGCAGTGTGGATGCTCCAAGACAAAATAGCAGTCCAAATGCAGACCATTTGCTATCACGTAGTACAGTTGCTAACAGCAATTTACCTATACTTCTGAAAATTGCAGTGAGGTATTCTTGGAGATCCTGCCACCGACTCATCTGATCATCCATATAGTACAACTGAAGCCTGGAGGTCTGTCAGGGAAATGACACTCTGTCCTTTTGAGCTGTTCCCAGTACTTCTTGGTCTAGGAGTTGAAGGTAGCAGTGGAAAAATGAAAGTTAATATCTCTTCATCACAGGTATGTGTGGAGACGGAGATATTTGTTCTTGGTAGTTTGGAGGGGTACAATTCACTGGAAGTTCCCCACACACAGCCTACTGAGACACTCACATCTCAAGGACACTAACTTTGTGTAAACACATGGGCTGGAATAATTTCTTTAGTGACCATTGCTGAGGAGAATTGCTTGGTGAGCAGTGGTGGGTGCAGTGGTAGCGCCTGCTGGCAGACATGAAAAAAAAGGAATGGCGTAATCCTGGAAGTAGCCTGAAAGACCTGACAGCAAGAGCATGGCACCTTTTTTGGGAGCGTGGTTCTATTTTTATGATGCATAGGTAGCAGAACATCACTTACCTGCTTACCTTCAGATGGAATTCCTTGATAGGAATGAGCACCCCTTCAGCCCTGTGACCATGCATGATGTGACTGGGTGTAACCCAGGTGGTGGCATATGTTCTTATCAAAACAAGCACCTGTGGCTGCTGCCTTGCCAACAAAGCAGTACAAGTCATTGTACTTTGTCCTGTGGACTTCCACTTCCTTTCCTTCTGAATAACACTGGAAAGAAAAATTTCCCTCACTTTAGGAGTTTTGTCCAGCCAATGCCCATCACCTTAGCTGCTGTGTGCAGTGTTAGCTGGCCAGTGCTGCCACAGGGGCATGGGAGAGGCTGGCAGTGGTGGTCTGCAGCAAGGTCCCCATGTGGAGCAATTCTTATAATCTGTAGCTCAGCATAAATTGGGAAACAATATTTAAATACCATACTCATGCCCTCATGGGTTTTTTTCAATTTCTTGAAGTTGAATAAGCGACCCTTGCCATCTCGTATGAAAACAGCCTTTGGTGGATCATTTGCAGTCTCTTCTTGCTGCTGGTGAGTATTCCTATCATCAAAGTCCAAGGCATGAATGTAACAGTTTTAAATCTTGATGAATTTCTTAGTCTCCTCTTAGGTGTGTACTATGTCTCGCCAAAAGTGCGTGTAAATCAGGCGCTGTTCTAAAACTTTTTGGTCATATGTATTTGTAAGGTGATGAGGCAGGAATGTAGGTATCAGGATATGACCCAAGGGGCTGGAAGAGCGTGTGAAGTCATGAGGGCTCATCCTTTGCAGAATAAAAAAACCCAAACAACTGGGATTTTGCATAGGTTGTGCCCGTGCAAGGGCAGGGCCTGATGTGAACTATTCTATAGTCTCTGCCCATATTTCTCCACCTAAGAAAAAAATGTGTTTTGTCCCAGAGCAGAAGCTGAGTGTAAAGTAATACCAACACAGTGGTTGCAGCAGCATACGGTGCTGTCTGAAATGGCTGTTTTGAAACTGGTAATTGCTCTCTGTTTTTGTTCCTAATATACTGCAAGAAACTAGATGCTGTGTATCTTTTTTGCAAATAAACAAGTTTGCATCAAAGACATATTTATTCTATCAATTTCTTGTCCTGACGTAATCTGCAGGATCTCAAGTATAGGCTGGCTGCTGTAAGCAGCAGATAGAGCACTAATGGAAGCTAATTTAAATTTCTATTTGCATCCCTCATTTAGAGGTGCATAAACTTCAAATACAAATACCCTGTATTTCAAATGTCAAGTTAAATAATAATTTGCTGGATGAGCTACTGTCTGAAACAACACACTCCCCTTTTGGAATGATACACAAAGATCTTCTGTGCTTTGAAATGATTCATAGCAGATGGGAAGAAAAAGGACCATTAACTGATTCTTCACATAATAGATCACAAACTGAGAGATCCTGTTGGAAAATCAAATGGACTAAATTTTCAGAGAAGCTTGTGCTTTCCACAGAATTTTGCTGACTGAATTTCAAATCAGCTTGACGATTAAACAGCAGGTCATTAGAAATGCGTTTACGTTAACAAGCCTCTGTAACCATATTCATACTAGGGCAAGGCAAAGTACACAAAGTGTTTGTTAGATTATAATTAGTTTAGATTACTTTCCATTATGTATTGGTAAAGGCAGTCCATGGGCTGGCTCATGTTTCAGGTTGCTCTGCTGTTCCTGTTCTTGCAGCAGTAGCTCTGGGTAAGGTATCTGCATGACAAAATCTAAAAGCCCTGCCCAGCAGTTTGAAGTAATGACCCTTGCACTTTTTTGGCTCATGATCCCGTACATGCCACCACCCATTCTTATTATCAGACTTTAAACTGAAAATAGGACAAAAGTGATATGAGCAATGCAAGGTTGTATTTCGTAAGAGTCTTTGGGCTCCTTGCAAGCATTCTCTCTAGATTATGCTGCATTAAACCATATTCTTTTTAGTCTATCAGTGCCACTGGAGAAACAGACCTGTAATTCCTAACACCAGAAATTGGTGTTAACTACTTTGCAGTGTTCAAACCTGTTTATTACCCTTACCACCCATACTTTTTACAAGCTGTGTATTCTCATGTGTTGCATTTTTGAAACCCTAGAAATGCTATTTTTTTACTTCTATTTCATTAATTCACTTGATATATGTGAAGGCAAAGTAGTAACACTGACACTTCTGAAGAATGTTTTAATCCTTAGTGTTATTACATTATTTCTTGATTCATTTTTATCTGGTGTGGTTTAGCACAGCAGTATGGACCCACCCACTGCATCTCAAAGCGTAATCTCTCTGACACTTAAATGACATTTTCCCACATTTTCCCATTTTCTTGGATAATGAATAATTTACAATGTGGGCCTGTAAAGAATCTATGTTCGTATTTAAATATCTGTGAAATTTACAGATTCACTTTTTCATTTTGAAAGCTCTAAGGTAATAGAAAATGTTTCACGTACTGGTCTTCCTTCTTTTTCCATAAAGAACGTTTGTTCTGCAGATTGCAAAAACACTTCATAAACTGTAGCTTGTAAGATATATTACTTTTTAAGGTGGTTGGTGGTTCCACTGTCAGAAATTAAAAATGAAATAGAAAAAGTATGCTTAAACTAAGCCTGTCTGTAAAAGGGATATCTGTATATAGATATATGTTCACATATGAGTATAGTGCCGTCAGAGGAGTCTAAATCTTATAAGTCTGGGAAAACATTTGTGAATTAATCGTGTATTATGAGTTCTGATGTTAGACTATTTTGTCTCACACTAGAAAGAAAAAGCTAATTTAAGATTAAAAATTGAGGTGTTAAAGTACAACTGAGTGATACATCAACTATATGAATTAAAAAGAGCCAATGAGAGGAGATAAGGCATCTAAACTCCCATATTGCCAGAGGATGCAGTGAGACAAACCAAAGATGCAAGTGCTACACAAAGGTCAGCCCAGCTTGGAGATATGGAGATAGGAGTCTGAGCTCAGGGAGGAAAAGATACAGAGATAAAGGCACACTGTAGACAAAGAGGAAGAAAATACGGAATAGCCTGGAAGATGCAAAGTGGCTACTCTGTCCATCATGCAAGTCATCTGAAATGCAGGGCAATCTCTTTTTAAAATCTTGTCTGGAACTACATTTTTCTTGCTTCATGGCTTCCTCTCAACATGCTCTTTTTCCTTGCATGAGTTGTGGAGTTTGGAGGAACTAGAGCATATTCTTTACAATCAGTTACAAATATGAGGCTTAGAACCAGTCCTGTTCCAGTCATCTCAGCAAAGATCAGCACAGCATTGCACTCAGTCACCTGTGCTCTGAGAACAGCATATGGAAATGGTTAATGACTTAGAGCTTCACATGGCAACCAGGGATCACAATTTCTAATAAAAAAATATTCACCCTCCAATCTGACTTTCTTGAAAATTATTATTGTCTTGATAATGAGATATTTTGAAAATCATCTGGGCCAAATTAATCAGATAGTGGTAACTGCTTAATTCTACTGAAGTGTTGCTGCACAAGTATTTACTGAACAAAGGTGTCAACTAACAATTTTATGTTACTTATTAAAGACAGACCCAAGATCTGTTTAGAACTTTTCCCAAAACTATACTGTACTTTTCCCAAACTGTACTTCCTGACTGCCAGTATGATGTAAAAAGAGGTTTCTTCTTGAATATTTATATGTGTCTTTATAATATAATGTCATTTTAATACAATATTGTTTCTGAAAAATTGATTCATTATTCTGAACTAGTGATCTGGCATAAGCTAAACTGTCATCACTGCCTGATCACACAGCTTCCTACATCATCTTTATCTCTTTCCAGCTTTGAAGTTTCATCATCCTTGTCAAGATCTGGAAGTGCAGCTTAGTATGTGGTAATGACCACAAATTAGTAGTGGGTAAATGCAATCTTAATGTCTCAGACAGCAAAGTATTTTAATACTTATCCATTTAAGTTCACAAGCTATACACAAAATACATTGAACCTTCATGAAAACTCTAAAAAGAAATGTGTTTATTGTGCTTCTAATGTGTAAGCAGATGTTTAAGAAAATGTTCCTCAAGAACAAACTTGATGCTTCAGTGCTATGAAGCTTTATTACATTGGTTGTTGAAAGTCAGGGAGTCTGATGTGAGCAGCATGACTTAGAAGAAGGTCTTTTTTCAGACTGAGTGCTTGAAGTATGAAATTTGTCATTTTGCAGCCAGTCAATGACCTAATTTTCAAACACTATTTACACAGGATTCTATCTGGTCTGCTTTAGATGTTCATTTCAATAAGGATAACACACTGGAAAGCCAGATCTTAGAAGCTCCTTGGGGGTCACCACACAGGATGCCTTCAGGCACAACAGCCATCCAATAAGCTCTGTCAGCCTCTTTCTTCTCTTAAAGCATTTTTAACACCCTGCATGTTGTCTTGTGTCATGATCCAACATACCCCCATGAAGTAACTGATACTATCATTATCTGAAACTATCTCAGAACAAAGTAAAGGAATTAAGAATAATGCATCTTAAATTGATACTTATAGGCCTGAATTAGTGCTCAGCGACATCTCTATATCAAACTTCTTGTTATCTGTAAAGTGTGTGTTTGGAATTGTTCATGATTTTGTAATGAAGACTATTTTTGTACAGCATACAGAGTGATAATGTAAAAGCAGTAGAGAAGAGCTAGAAAGTAGTAAGTTGGAGTTGAGAAAAAAGACTGTTTTCTTTTGGCTGACAATGTTATATAAAGATTTCAGAGTTAAGATAGAGACAAAGTTTACTTTAAATTTCAGTGCACCCAACTTAACCTTTCAGAGCTTTGCAAACTCTGGGAAACATTTTGGACAGACTAGGATAAAAATATCTTTTCAGTCAAAACATATCACTGCTCTTCAAGTTAATTAGAGAATGATTGCTCAGAGATATAAATTTTTACACTATTCCACTCCACTCTCTAATTGTGAGAGTAAAATTTTTGTACTATCATAGTTACAGAACAAAAACTGTGGACCTTTAACAGAAAAGTTAACATTTGCTAGAAGGGTGTAACATCTCATTATATATTAATTTAGTAACAACTTTTAAAAAGAGCAGCACAGCTTCTCTCATATTTATTACTTCTTTTGAATGACATCAAGAATGGATTGTTCTGAATTAAAGAAAGACTTGGAGGTTGGTAATTTAATTGGAGGATAATTCAGTTTCTTCACCTAGAAGTAACCAAGGTTAAAATCATATACAGCCAAATTATTATTTTAGCCACACTTAGGTCTTACTTTTTCCTAATAGTGATATAATAAATCCTTTTTAGTTATTAGTAGTTCAGCTTGAGAGAAAAGCTTTGTGTGAACTTCGTCTGCATTGCAGAAAAGTAACATTTTAAGTCTTCAAAATAAGTAAAAAGAGGCAGATAATGATTGTAATTATAACACTTATTTCTGTACCTACTCTAGATTTTGTGACAAGTGACTTAAACATCTCTATTTGTGCTTTCCCATTGGAAGAATAGCCACAGGAATATTCAGTTCTGCATAATTAATATTTGAAACCATAATGCATGTGAAATGTAATACACTTTCTGAATATAGTTCTCTCTTTACCACAAGATCACCTTGCTATTTGCCTAAAAGTATTTTGATCAGAGAAGTAATATTATAGATTATACCCTGGTAAGTTAATCCACTTGTGCTTCTGCAATTTTAGATATGCAATGACTTTTGGAAAAGAGAATACAGTAGAAAATTAATATTAATCAGGGAGGAAATAAGTGTTTCTTACATTGTAGAGCAACAAAATTTTGTGGTTTATCCCAAATATTGAAGTGCATGTCTCCAGCTAATTTGTTGAAAGATTCAGTTTGCATATAGTCATAGAATGTCAGTAAAATAACCCTTTGAATTTGAGCTCCCTTTTGAGCTACAACTTAGAATCTCCCAGTGATAATAACTTTGGTGGAACACAAGGAGGAAATATAAGCTAAGTTCTCCAGAAAATCAGAATTTAAAATTGGGGGGGAGAAAAAAGGCATTTTGTGTTTGAATTTATAATTATCTGTCTGTTAAGGATGAAAGGATGCTTTTGACAGGAGGCTTGAAATCTCTCCTTCCCCATGTGCTAAGAAGAATAATTCGGTGCAACAGACTCAGTATTAGTAATACTTCTGTAATGGCAGAAGGTAAGTGAACCTAATAGCTCTCTGTGCAAAGTGATTCTATTTTAGATTCATACCTATGTGGTTTTTGTTTGTAAAGGATTGGAGAAATATCAAAAGCACCAAAGTAAAACAGAAGAAAATGTTATGTTCTTGGGTGTTTTTGAAATCACATTGTAAGCACCTGACTCTGTTTTTTAAATCATAAAGACGTATCAGAGGAAATACACCATCCTACCTGAGTAATGTACATGGACTTTGTTTTCAGTGTTTGCAGTGCATTCCTCAGCTCCCAGTTGTTGTTGAGAAATGATGGATGTAGAAAACATTTGAAAAATCTTTAACGAAATCTGTGTTTTCTTGCATGTTATTCTCACATTTGTAAGATGTTCTTCACTATGTTCTTCACAGAGACCTGGCTTTACTTAGCACATCAGATATGCTTTGGGGAAGAATTAGATATATTGTTACAGGAGTGGTTTTCTGCTTCATTTGTTGCAGAAGGTGAAGATTACTGGATCAGCAAGGCTGGGAATTATAAAGGGGAGGGAAAAATTAGATTTATACTCAGATAACAGAATACATTCTGGAAAATTAATTTCTGTCTTGCCTTTCATAGCTGGATTTTTACAGAAACAGAAGACTGTCATTGTTCTGATCAACTTTAAAAAATAATGCAAACAAAAATGCCATGGCAAGTAGCTGATCAACTAAGTTGTGTGTACAATATAAAATATATTAAAGGTCATTTTTCGAACTGTAGTGAGTCTTAAAATTGTGGTTTTCTTTTCTATCAGTTTCTAAGTTGAAAAATACTGTTGGAAGACATTTTATAATGTTAATAATTTGCAGTTTGCCCAGCCAAATTTTTAAGTGAATTTATTGCTGCAGTAGTTTTAAATGTACTGGTTCTAACATTTTTAAAAGTATTGACATACAAAACAAGTTCATGAGCAAATAGTTTCATTATACAAAAAGAACCATTGTAACAAATTCTCCTATGTTGTTATCCAATTCTTTCTTACTGTCCTCATTGTCAATCTCCATAGAAGTTAAAAGCTCTTTCTAAACTTCTCTGAGCTTGGGCATGAGTGTGTTGAATTACTGCCTGGGTTGGTCAACACATTCAGCTCCACTACCATTGCTTTTGAATACATCCATAATGATGGCTCCATAATGCAAGTGAATCCATCAGGAGATATGGGTTGTATACAAAATAAGGATAGCTATCAGGAGGAGCAGTAAAGTTCTCTTAAGTGTTGTAATGAGGCTTCCTGAGTTTATCGAGTATTTGCCTGAAGATTCAGCCTGTCATCTGTAACTAGTATGTGAAATTCAGTGCTGTCAGTTGAATGCCCTGACTAAACCCATAATTTTAAGAACTCATTAATACAACCAGCAAAGCAGAAAGTGCCTGTGGATTTCTTGTGGATGGCAGGGAATGAAATTGAGGGGTAACCGAACTTAATGTTTTATTCAGTGGATAAAGTAATATGTTTATTTAGCAAAAATATTTTTCTGTATTTAGCAAGAATCTCGTTCTGTATTTAGTAACTTTTCTTAGTAATAAAATGAATTTTTGTGCTGACTACTCCCAAGAGAGCAGTTTGTGGACAAATTCAGTATGCAAATACATGCTTACCTCAGCCTTTGCTTTGCATTTTTCCATCAGGAGTAGAATTCTTTTTGGATTTCTTTGTTAGCTTTAGTCAAGAGTAAGATTTGGCTCATTTTCTACAGCCTTTGAAGGCAGCTCATTGACTTCAACTAAATTATTGCCTCCTTGATGACAGACTACTGCAGAAAGTGAGTGCTTCTGTGCAGCCTCCTACTCGCCTGCCTGATATCAGACAGTAATAACTCTTCAAGAGAGAATCGGTACAGAATTTAGGGATTGTTAATTGCTGGGTTTATACACCCCAGACCAGTTGTACTCCAAATTTACCCCCATTATTTTAACAGTTGATATTTCTGTGCAGGAAAGTTTAAATGGCATTGGTATTAACTACTACTGTTAAGAAAATAAATTTTCGCTCAGTGGGACTTTTCTTCAGTGGTACTCATTGCAAAAATGTTAATGTCTTTAGAAGCTATTTCATAGTAGCAGTCAAGAACCTTTTGAATCAAAGCTGTTTGCAAGTGAAGAAAGTGTAGCAGTTCTGTTTTAGTTTGGTTTTTTTTTAAATTAGAAATTAAATTAGAATTTTAATTAGAAGTTACTGAGATTCAGTGGACAGTCAAGAGTTTATTCCTGAGCTGTAATCATTTTTGTATAATTGCAGCCCACATTTAAATTCCCTAGCCTAGAAATTTTAAAGAATGTGGTACTAACATCATGATACCAGGAGCTTACTTTTGCATTGATTTATATCTTGGTGTGGTGAAAAATAATTGTGAAAATGTGGTGTGTGATAGCTTTTCATTGACTCTGAGTTAACATTTGCAAATAAAGCATATTCGTACAGAAGACTAATGTCCCCATTTAGAAAAGAAATTATGTTTATATAAAAATTAAGAGAAATGTTTCTTAATTATGGTGTCTTCATATTCTGCTACTACTCATGTCTGCTAACTTGTTGTAGCTGTGAATGACTTCACATATAAAGTAGGCCTAGCTATGATTCTTAAAGCATTTCAAGAAGTTTGATCTAATTACAGAGTTCTGAATAAAAAATTTCCTTCAGGTAATTCTTACAAACCATCTAAAGAAATTCATACAGAAAAGTTATTGTTTCACAAACAAAAAGCTGAATTAATAACCAACCATTCCTACCTTCCACATTTTAAGGTTACAAACAGGCCAGTGTTGTGATTTTGCACAAGTCCCTGGCTGATGACTTTGAGAAGTTCTGCCATGCAAATGATGGACCCCTGCCACTGCTGTACAGAAGTCAACCAGGTGACTGGAAATGTCCCTCCCTGAGTAGTGATTCTGATATCAGGTAACTACAGACCAACTCTGCTGGCCAATATTCTGAAGTGAATGCTGGTGGTGATTAGGAGAATTTGAGGAAAAAGCCTGATTACACTGTTGAGGATTTTGAACAATGTTCTTGGAGTTATCCCTTTGAGTGAAAACCATGTATAACAGCCTGATTATCTTGTTCTTGAGCCACATGTTATGATAATTGTCAGTATTGCAAGTATTTCTCTAATCCAAAGGTGAAATTTTGTGTATTTTTAAATATTTTGCAGTCTGAGCTTGCAGAATTCAATAATAGGGTTTTATATTTGTTTTATTTACTAGAAACATGGCCATGGTGTCTGCACAATACTTGTAGAGTCTCTGAAATTTGAAAGATACAGTCCTATGGTAAACACTAAAAACAAGGTTTAAACCAGCTCCCTAATTTTTTAAAGCTTGAAACAAGATATGCATAAGGGGCCTTTACATATAAAAACCCAAAAATCTCAAACTCTAACATTCTGTCTGCCAGCTTGGTTTTGTGCAGAATAAGATGTTCTGGGGGTTTTGTCTGTGTTGGTTTCATTATTAGTCAGAAAGAACAAAATGGATAAAGCAGGCTGTATTGTGTAGTTTCATACTGGGTTTATGTCAATTCAACCAATTCATCTTATTTTTTAAAAAAAGTAACAAAGCTGTGATAACTTCTTATTTCACTAGGACTGACTGCCAGCAGTATAGAAAATATGAGCATGGAGCTTGTACTGGGTCACTGAAAAGCCTTAAGGAGTATTCTGAACAACTCAAGGACATGGTGACTTTTTATTTAGGCTGCAGCTTCTCTTTTGAAAAAGCAGTCCAAAAAGCTGGCATTCCTATCAGAAACGTTGAGCAAAAATGTAATGTAAGCATGTACAAAGTAAGTATATGCACACACATGTAATCTTTGTTGTAATTTTGCCTGTGAGTTTTGCCCATATTCAGATTAGGTGCATGTTGTTCAAATCTGAACTTTTTTCCTCTACCTACACAGTAATTTAAGGCATGTGCTAGTGCTGAGCAAATGAAAATATAAGATAACATATTCCCAGCCTCAGTTCAGTGTAAGGCCAATCTCCTTTTTTATTCATTTTTTTGTGACAAAGCTTTCCCTGTTTTCTGTAGCAGCCATTTCATGTGGATTCTTTTCTAGTTTGCCCTCTCTGTTTCACCCAGTGACCAAGTACTGTTCTGACCATGTCTTTACGTGTGTCCTGCTCTCCATACCAGCTTTGCAGTTGGAGTATTCCTTTTATAAACCATGACAATAGTAGTTTCTTCTGTGTGACAGCCACATTTTGGAGTTTTCCTGTAGACAGTAGAGCCTTTAAACTGCAAACCCAGGCCTCTGGGCCTGAAGATGTTCCCAAAGGCTTGAGGTGCCTACCATAGCACTGAAAATTATGACTGTGCTCAAAAAGTTTGTGGTGTACATTTTAATGGTAAGAGAAGTCTTAGAATAATTCTGGCTCCAGTAAATAAACCCCTTAATACTAAGAACATTGAAGTATTCATCTGCATGCCTTTTTCATTTAGTCCAGATACTGAGCTACTGTAGAAAGGTTAGTGCTGTTTTCAGTGTTATCATTACACAATCTATGCTATGCTCCTGGTCAAAATGAAGGTGCAAGTGTATCTCATGGGTGAGTCCTTCTACCAAGCTTAAAAAAAACAAAATACAACTATGTATCTGCTTCTAGAATTTCAGATTTAGGAAAATTTTATCGTTTATAGCACATTAATGCTGTGAAGAACTGCACAGTGTGTTTCTTCAGTGACAGGTGTGATTATTATTATCATTATAAAGCCTTTAAATGAACATTTTCTCGACAGCTCTAGCTCTCTGGATGTCTTGTTTATGTTCAACTGCAACTCAGATATGTGACATTTTTTCCTAAAAAGCTGACCTGCTTTCTTTCTTAATAGAGAAGGAAATACTTTGTAGAGGCATGAGATATTTGTATTTGTATGGAACTGTCATGCAGCTTCTGTACAAGAGGGTATTGCCATCAGCAGTTGCTGACCCTGGCATGTTACCAGGCACTGTATTCAACTACAGAGAGTAGAGTCAGTGTAAGTAGATTTGTAGGTGTGCCATAATTTTCTATTAGCTTTTTCACCTTCTGTGGAGGGAACACACCATTGTTTTCAGACAATATTTAGTATACTGAGCTCATCTTGCTGTGTGCACCAAAACAAGGAATGCATTAAGCTGATAATTGTAGTGATCTCACTTCAGAGTGCTGGAGCTAAATGATGGACTCTTAAAGGAAAACATACAGGATCCCGAGATTTTTTTTTCAGAAGGATTTACAATCAGTGTTAGAATGCAGCCTTTCTAAATTCAAGTGCAGCATAAAGATTTAGATTTATTTTTTCTGACATTTTAGAAGTACTGTTCAATATTCCTGCTAACACTGGATTCTTTTGAACTGCCAGACATCTGTGCCTTGCTACAGCATTTCTATGTTTCACTGCAACTTAGTAGTCACAATGAGACCTATTCCTGAAAGCAAGTTGGGAGCAGCTGTGCTAGCAACGGCAGAATTAAAAGAAGCCCATGGAGCACCAATTCACATAGGTGACCCTGGTCAGTGCTTTTCATTTCTCATTCTGCATGCACCTGGCTGTGTATACAAGTGAAGGGGGAAAGCATGGGAAGTGGTAGGACTGAAATACCTGCACCACTTAATCTGTTTTAATCCTTTCTAATAGTCACAAACCTGAATATAAAAGGAAAAAGGAAGAAAGAAAAAAAAAAGAAAAATGGTTTTATGTGAGCTAAACATGCAGCTTTCTTAGATAAAAGATAGTTGTCGGATATAGATAAGTTATCTGGCAGGGGTGGTTTTGGTAAAAAGTGCAATTACATTTTTCTGAAATGTGTGCAGTTTCATTTGTATGTGAATACTTTCTTGCTGTCAGAGATTCCAGTGACAGGATAGCAATGACTGACAGCATGGGCAGAAGTATGTATGGAGGCATTTTGTGTCTTAGTGATTGAATGTGAAAGTAAATACTGCATTATTTTAAAAAATACTGAAATAGCATACAATGAGCACAACACTTAAATCAAAATGAATAGAAATATGACAAGGTTTGTTTTTTTTTAAATCTAGTTTGAACAAAAATGGAAAAAAAGAGAGAAGGCTGTTTGAAAAAGAACAAAACCAAACAAACATCTGTAATATGAAGATAGATTGCAATAATTTCCCCCCTGCTGTCAGAAGTTTGGTTATCATGGGCTACATACACAGAAGGATCACATTGCAGGGCATGGAAGGAGATGTCATTGGTTAACACAACACTCCAGTAATGTACTTGAGTAACATATCTGAGTACTTAAGCCTGACAAACTAGTAATAAGTCATTACAAAAGAGTAAATTAACATATATACAGATTATATAAACTGATTTCATAAAAGAGAGGGTATATTAAAGCATCTGAAGAATTTAAAACCAAGGGAAGATAGCAAGTGCTTAGAATGACCCAGATTATTACAAGTAGGTGTTAGAATAAAGCAAAAGACAATTTAATGAAAGTCAGCTAAAAGTGAGATGTATTTATCTAAGATAGAGAGGGAAAAAGGGCTTGATCCTTTCTCTAGCTAAAGAATATAGGACATTACCACAGTAGAAAATGTGTTCTAGAAGGAACTCATTTTGCATTGCAATCATTTATTCTTGTTTGCCAGTGCTATGAATAGAATTCTTCTCTTGATCCAGAAGATTTATATTATCTTGGAAACTCAGCATAGATGTCTAAACTGCATTTTGTTGCAGAAATAAGGTAAATACATTTTTACTGGTGTTATCGAGTACAAAAAAGGGAAAATCAAGTCAATTCAGGCTCTGAGAATGTGCACTCAAAGGCAAACTAAATGTTCCACTTTAGGGGGACTTCAACTCTTGAACTCTTAATTCGGTGTCATTGAATGATGTTTGGGGTCCACTCCCCCAGCTTTGCAATATTACTGCTTAATTAGAATCACTCATGATTTCATTTTTGATCAATTCCAGGTCTGTTGGGAATACAAGATCTTTCTAAACCAGACTATGGAGATCCAGTTCACCTTCACCCTGGTGACATTCCAGTGTTTTGGGCCTGTGGAGTAACAGGAGTAGAAGCAATTATCAACTGCCGTATGTCTGCTTAGAGTCTCTCTTTAAATTATCCCTCAATCTCTTTTCTCCCTCTCTGTTTTATTTTGCTTTTTAAAAAAGGATACTGAAGTGGCTGATTAGCAGGCTTGATTTTTGGGGAAGATAAAAAACACCCCAAACAACAAAAAGCGTTTGGCAGGAGAGTTTTTGGTGTGAAATACAGGTCTACTTTAAAGAAAATTCTTACTGAAATTTCACTACTTTTGTGTATTTTTAACATTTAAATCTACAGCTCTGGCAACATCAAAACATCTTTTTTAACATTATTAAAAAAAAAAAAGGTGTTTAAAGGCATTAATTTTTAAGCTTCTTCCTTTTAAAATATTATTTTGTGCTACATTGAAGCAATAGTAAAGAAAAGAGAAAAAAAAAAAGAAGGAATAAAAAGAGAGAAGATAGAAATCTTTCCAAAATGTTGTCAAGAGCTAGCAAATTGATTGACATGGAAAAGGGTTCTGAAGTGTTGTATGGAGAATGTTGAGCTTTTAGTTTTCTCCAAAATTAAATAAATGTGACACACTTTACATAAGTGAAACTTTTTCTTCTGTACAGTTTTTATGCACTGTGTGCAGTCATTTATGCACATATGAGCACAAAAGGAAAGAAAATGCAACAAAACTATAATAACAGTATTATATACTTCTCTAAGTCACTAGTGTGGAATGAAATACTCTATTTTCATTCTTACTGAAAAAGAAGCTTAAAAATAATAGGCACTATATTTGGGAGAACTCTGGGAGACCATCTGCTTTGTCCTTCTCTCCTCACAGGATCCTTCCCTGTGGTTTCTTACGGATGTTTATCTGAACTTCTATCAATACCTGCTCTAATATGTTCAGCTCTAGGAAGAGCTCTTACATACAATCTCTTTTTTCCAGTCCCAAATCCATGCTGAAAATCCTATTCTTTCCTGGGTTCTTCAGCAAACCTGTTCATCTTCCTCATGTGTCCTTGTTGTAGGGAAAAGAGAAAAAATTTGCCAATGTCTCTCAAATCTGTTGCACAGGTGGCTGTCTATCCTGCCCTTGCCTGGAACACACTTTCACTTTTGTTTATTTCTCCATTTTCTATATTAAAAGCAGTTGTTATTAGTACATTCCAGGAAATTTTTTGATAGTTTTTATTTTGTTGTGCTACATTCTCAGCTGGGACATTTAAAATCTGCCACACCACCAGTACCCATGCTATAGATGAATCTGCTAGCTGGTCACAAAAAACTGTCTGCTCACGGGGTTTGGTGAGGTATTGTAAACCTCAACAACCATGTTCCCCAGGTGCTTTAAACTGCTAGCCATAGAATCCAAACAGTTGTAGCTCAAACCAATCACATGTGTACTTAGTAAAGAAACATCTTCTCCACTTTCACCCTCCTACAAAGGAAGTTTTGCTTTTTTATGTATACCAGCTATGTACCAATTTTGCCAAATCAAGTATTACCTAGATTCAGACTTTTAGAATCAGTATAAAAACAGGAAATATTTTCAGCTTAGGAAGCTACTATGCTGTCAGGTCTAAAGAAGCTTATTTTTCTCCAGGGTTTTAGAGGCTACTCGTATTTCCTTGGCTGATGCTTACTGATCCACTTTTGTCATTACTTGCCAGTTTAAATTGCTATGGTTTAACTCCAGCCAGCAGGATGAAGGAGAGAATTGTAAGGGTGAAAACTGGAAAACTCATGCATTGAGATAAAGATAGTTTTGTAGGGAAAGCAAAAGCCATGCATGCAAACTGAAAATAGGGAATTAATTCACTGCTTCCCAGGGGCAGGCAGGTGTTCAGCCATCTTTAGGAGACCAGGGCCCCATCACAGGTCATAGTGACTTGGGAAGACAAAGGCCATCACAACAGACCTTTAGGAAGGGTACCAGAGTTCCTTTCTTAGATTGCCTCAAGTTTAGACCAAATAGGACATTGTGGAAAAAACTGATCTCACCTACCCACACGGGCTTTTTAAAAAAGTGAAAAAATTTTCAGCTGTACATACATACATTTCTTTCTCAAAGTGTATTAATTGCTCCTATGTAACTTATCACCTTTTTTTATAACTGTCATCAGGCAGGGACTCTATTGTTAATATTAAGTGGCTTTTTGAAATTTTATCATCCTATAATTTGTTACATTGCAATAATAGCATTTAACTGAATGTTTTTCATTAATTTTAGGAACTCCATTAGCTTTTACTCATTCTCGTGACTGCACATTCATCACTGACCTAGAGAATGACAATGTCAGATCCTTAGGAGGAGTCCCACAAGTCCACTGCATCTCTCAAGATCCTCTGCATTTCAGCATTGTGTCAGCAGAAGCAGCCCAAAAGATAAAGACTCTAGAGACCCTAATTGGAATAGATCCAGGTAAAACAAAAACTGTCTCCCTTTAATGGATTAGTTACAGGGTAGATACCACCTATCTGGCCTTTTAAGATATTTTAAATTCAAGAACACAGTAAGAATCTAAAAGGGATTTAAAGAATTCTTTATGGAATACAGTGAGTTTATATAACTAGGTCTTATATTTTCTGTTACTGTAGTTAATATCAGAGTCTGGCCAAAATCATATATTGTGGACAACAGAATATCTGATCTTGATGACTGTATGCTCCCAAAGTACACAGAAGCAGACTGGAGAGTCCACAGGGAATAAGAACTGTTACTGAGTAAAACTGAAATTGTATGTGAAGTACAGGGCACCTCAGCTTGCTGGTAACAGCTACATGAGTATTCACTATGGAGTAAATAGCACATTTCTTTACATATATTCATGACTACTGTGGTCCTACCAGAGAATTCTAGTAGTTGCATGTGTTTTTCAAACACCACTCTCTGACAGGTGGAATTATATTAATTTCTGCTGACATATCCATCGCTGAGGTGTTGTATGATGGACCAAAGTGACCAGGTCACCAAGGAAGGTTGAGCAGTGGGGCTGCCTGTGCATGCAAGGAAGAGAGGGAAGTAAAGGCACACTGAGTAGTGCAACCATTCCTAAAATACACACTGAGTTAGTCCCTGTGGCTGCTGTAAAGTCTGAGCTCAGTGTGCCATAAATTATCTGAAATCCTCTGTAGGCAGTAGTGGAAAACAGCTTACGCCCAGCACTCCCAAGCTCTGGGTTTGGGCTGTGTGCATACATTTGGGTCTGTTTATTTTTACTCACAAGGCCTCTCCTTTCCCACTCTCTGGAGCTGGCTTGGCACAATGCCATGCTCTGCAGAAATACAGAACCTAACTTAAAAGTTAGCTTATTTTATTGCTAAAGGAGAGTACAGTACTTTGTCTCAGTTAATATACCTTGCTTCTCAGAGACTTGTATTCTGCTTATGTTAACTTTAAGTTTTCAGAACTTTTTTCTCTGTCCATTATCTGTGTATTGCCTGTGTGTTATTTAGGAGGAACAGAGAGAGAAATGCCAAAGGGGAAATTGAGGACCAAAAGAGGAAAATGTGGGGGTGAGGGGAGCAAGAAGGATGAGTCTATGAGGAGACTGAAAAACACCAGTGAAGACTTACCTCTATAAGCCCATCATGCTGGTACTCATGGTTTTCTTGAGTACTAGCAAATCAAAAGAACTGAGCTGTGAACTTTTTTCCAAGTGACAGGGAAGAAACATGGGATAGGAAGTGTTTGAACAATGAAAGCCGTACACAGATAATAGTGTTGCCTATTTAGGGACTGACCCATGAGAAGAGACTTCTGTTAATATTCACCTATTTCTCAAGGTCTGATAATGTGGTTCTCTGCTACATGAAGTGTTACAAGAACTTCTAGTCTCCTAGACTACAAGAACTTGTAGTCTCCTAGATACCACTGTATTAATTGAGTTTATAAAGTCCCCAGGAAACTTGCAATGTCTCTGAAACTTCACTTCTGATATTAATAATTTCATTAAGTGAAATTTATTTGGGAATTACTTCTTCACAAAGGGGATGGAGTTAGTTAGAGACAAAGGACCAGTTCACACATCTGAAGTCTGCATCAGAACTTCTGTAAGGTCTGGAATGCTTGAGTTGTAATCCAGCTTATGTAGCTAATGTAGCAGGACTGTCAAAGGAGAACAGAGGGCCTAAGGAAAGGAAACAATATGCAATAAGCTCTCAGAAAAAGCTATTTACACTTATACTTAGAAATGCTAAGTATAATAATTTTCAAAAGCTGACATTCTTAACCTGGAAGCACAGCCCATTATCTTCATTACTCGTATCCTAGGTCTTCTTAGTTTTCCTGAGGAAATTACCCCAATTCCTGCCTTGACCAAAGGTTTTTCTCTCTTTTTTTTTAAAACCCATTTTATGTCACTAAAGTATGTACTTTCACCCAGAGGGAAGCTTCAAAAGGAGAGTGATACATTGAAGTGTACTGCTGTCTTTAAATCCACTCGTCTAGGAGAGCGGGGTATAAGGCATCTGCAGCGCCAGGGTGAGCTGCTGGGGGCCTGCCTGGCCATGTCCCACGCGGGGTCCGTGCTGATAACAACGGGATTTCCCACCCACTCCACCCACCAGCCGCCCGAGGAGAACGATGGCCCCCCGGGAGCCCTTGCCATTGCAGCGATGCTGCAGGCCTTGGAGAAACAGGTTGCCATAGTTACAGATCAGCGAGCCATGGATCTGAATAAAAAGATTATTGAAGAAGCTGTTCAACTAGGTAAGAGACATGGGTTTTTCAGTTTTTTATCTTGCTAATTTGAGCCAAGGTTTGCTTCAGTTATAATCTGTCACTTAGTCCAGGACTTTTTTTTTCCCCAGAGAAGGAATCAGAATTCATCCTCTAAGCTCTGCTCATCATTGCTATGATGACATTTTGTTAACCTACCTGGCACCAAGTTACTGTATACATATCTGGGTACTGATCCTGGATGAGTTGCTTGTAATAAATTTTGGATGTCTGTTCTTATTCTTGTAGACCTGTTTTCTACTGCAAGGTCCCATTTAACAGCATTTACATCTAAACACGTTTAAAGTAAGGATATAGGGAGCTCATGAAGATCTGTGTAAAGACCTTGTATTCTTACTTTTCTAACAATTTTGCTTTCTTTTTTTTAAGTTACTCAAAGATACATTAAAAAAAAAGTATGTAGTATCTGAATTTCATTTTGCTTTCCCGTAGGAATCCTGAAGAAGCCCATCCCTCTATTGAGTTATCAAAGGGAAAGTGCCAATTCAGCTTTAATGTTTTTGTGTGAGAATGGGAATCCTGGAAGACCTAGGTATGTGTATTCGGTTTTTGAGAACAGGTCACACCTCTACTGTGCAAAATTATAATAAAAATAAGAATCATGGTCTAAGAAGGCACAATGGCTGCAAGTAAATCCTTAAGACTTTGAATGCACAGAACAAACTTTGAAGCCAAACACTGTTACTGGAGCATACACAGAGTTCAGAATTCGACATTATTCCGCAATTATGCACTTCTGGAGTACAAAAAAGAAACAATTCTTCATTTATCAATAGTTCTTTTCCTTAAAAAAATCTAAAAGGCTTTCAGCTGTTATTCTATAAGTAGATATATGCACACTATATTTTTGGACCAATTTTTAAATTAGTGAGAAGATCAAAAAGTATTATACCAAAGTCAGTGAAAGAGCTAAGAAAAGTGCTGTGGAAAGTGTGTATTTTCTAGAGCTTTAGCTCTAGTCTGACAGCTAGGGAATCTGATCTGACTTAATAAAATGTCATGTGTTTGTAATAGTGTGATTAGGGTTAATGCACTGGAGAATTTGCTAAGTAGCTGTATGCTCATTTCATTACTTAGCATGCAACTTATATTTCCTTGAAGTAGGCATACATTGCTCATTTTTATTGATCTTTCCTTGTAAAGTATTTTAATGTAGTTGCCTTCAGTTTGCATTCTTTAATAAAAAGGCCTTTCACCCTGATATTTGCTTCATTAACTTACTGAATTCCCATTTCTTTCTGCAGGTTAGTATGTACTGTAATAGTATGCATGATACTGTCTTCATTTTTATGTGTCGTTTTAAAAATGTCTTTTATAGCTATGCTTAATAAAAGTACAGTCAGATTCTATTTAAATTGGTCCCTTAGTCCCAAAAAGCTGAAGTAAGTATTTTTTTTAAGTATACAACTAACCTGCTGAAGGTCTCAGGAATCACTGTAGATACCCACCCACAATAACATTAAGTAATCAGAATTAGTAACCTCTTAACAGTAAAAATGAAGAAACAGAAGCAAAATAACTTAATTCTAACATGCAGTGCAGAACTGAGTACTATAGTTCTACTTAAAATATAGGACAGCTGCAGTACATCTGTCTACTTTCATAACTAGCAAAACAACCATGGACTTAAAAAATAAATCCCCCAAATCTAAAGACCCAAACCCAAACATTGTCTAACTAGAAACAGATTAATAATTGCCAAGCAATGTACTTTGAGCAGAGAATGTATTTGCATTAACAAGAATTTTGATGATCATTAATTTTCCACTTTTTTGCTTTCTTTGAATACACTTACAGAGACTAATATTTTACAAGATACCATCTGCTTCAATGTGAAACAGAGCCAGGCCAGATGGCTGACCCAAAGGATTGCTGGCTAGGAGGATTGCAGGAACTTCTCCATTTCTTGGTAGCAAATGTGGTTTGAGGGAGCTGCACTAAAGCTATTAAAAAACCCTAAACTAACCTTTGAAAAAAAACCCATAGACAGCTACATTCAGAATTAATAAAACAGTATCCAAGCTTTACCTTGAATCCCAAATGGTCAAAAAGTAGAACCAAGCACAAGCAGCCAAGAGAAGTATTTTTCATTTGAAAATCACAGCTTTGACTTCTCCCCTCTGTTCTTTCATTCACTCTAACTAGATTTGATCACCTGGTAGCAATAGAGCGTGCTGGGATGGCTGCTGATGGCAATTATTACAATGCCAGGAAAGTTAACATTAAACATCTCGTGGATCCCATAGATGAACTATTTTTAGCTGCACAAACCATTCCAGGAATCACAACAACAGGTAAGTATGACTTTGTGTGATGTTCTCAGAAGCAAGAGAAGCACAGAGCAGGAATTCTTTCTGGTAGTGAAGGGGAGGAGGCAGGTGCTGAGTGGTTTCTTTCAGGCTACAGCTGTTTGTTGGGATTGGATTTGAAGACACCATTGCTGGAGAAAAATTACGGGTTTCTATTGAAGGATTCTCACAGCCAAAAGAAAAAAAAAGATTTTATTTCAAAGTTATTTAAGGACAAAAAAGCAAGCCCAGATATACTACCTATGCATAAGTCTATGTACATACACTCTAAGTCCAGTTTTTGATAGTGACTTTATTCTGTATTTTTTGTGTTGAAGGCAACATAGAACATAAATGGTTGTTGGATGGTAGAATTCCTTCTTAAAGTATTGGGTTTATGATTGTTACACCTAAGTTAAAACAGCAGTCTGGATAGAATCTTTGTTTATATTGTCTTTAGCAGTACATTCCTTTAAACAGGGATTACATATTTGCATCTATTAAAGTAGTGCCTTCGCCAACAAAATATGTGCATACAGCAAGAATCTTGAAAGGAATGCCTTGTCCTTCCCACCAAAACAACATTGGCCTTTGCTAATGCCTCTAATGAGAAGGCTTTTGTCAACATGCTCTTCCTCTCTTTAGGCAACAAACTTTTTTTTTCTTGAAAACTTATTTATATCTGGTTTGGAAAAAATATGCCATAGACAATATCCTTGTACAATCAAATGCTTCCTGCTACCATGTGTGGCCCAAATGAGAGTTTTGGAGATATATAATCTTGTAAATATTAAAATCAAATTAGAAAGAAGTACCCATGCCAGACTGATTTCTGTCAAATCAGAACACATCTGCTGATTTAGATTTTTTCTTCTTATAGTGCTGTGGACTCACTACTAAGTATTGCTGAAGGCATGGGCACTTAGACTTCTCAGTTTTGTTGTTTTTCAAATGTTTCCACAGAATTTAGAGAGCTTCTGCAGAGATAATGCATAGTCTGATTTCACTCTATTGGTATAATTTAAAAACTGTGTAGCAGAGGACTTCACCAATATGTGTTATTATTTTTGCAAAGTTTACAAACTTTGCAAACTTTTACAAAATTTACAAGCTTTTTATTTAGATTTAATTAGGTTTTTTTTCCTATTCATAAGATGTACCTTCCAACATTCAAAAGGAAGCACTCTAGATGGCACTGTCTTGGTAATCTCAACAGAGGACAAAGATTGACTGAATAAGTGTTGTATAGGACAAGCTCTGTTTTGTAAAGATGTCTAGCAAAATGCCTCAGAGCTTTATCTGCTGCTGTTAGTTTCAACTCCTATCCCTGATTTTAGGTTGTTGATGCAAGAATTTGATCTCTCCAGCTACTTACATAACATCACAACCTGATTCCTTTAGTAAAAATACCCTAATCTCTTCAAATATCTCTCACAGCAGCTCAAAGTATATTATTCATATGATGGAGTTTGGAATGTTCTGCCAGCTGAGAATTTGAATCTATTCAGCAGAATGTAGCTTGTATCAAACATTCTCTGAATATTCAAATATACTATGAAATGTCATTAATAAAAAATACCACAGGCTTGTGAAAAAGAAGAAAAGGAGTTATTCAGATTCACTGTGTCTCAGTGCTGTGAACTTTATCTAAAGAGATTTCTGCATAGAAAATGGTTTAACAAGTCAGAGGCTTCAAAGGACAATGAAGGGATCTTCTCTGATCTCCCATGGCATTTGTGTAAGTGGATATTTTGCTCTGGAGAACTAATTGTGTATCTATAAGAATGTAATTGTTTCTTACATTGTCTATCACCTAGTTAACATTTCTTGTTTTACTTATCACATTAATTTTTTGTGTCTGTTATTTTAATTGGGTAGCAATTTCTTGGGTTGGATGTTGGCTTTTTCAACGTGTTTCTGCCAAATGTAGTTTAACTTAGCCACTGTGGCCTTTGTATTTTGTCTCCCATTACTGATAGCAACGTGTTGCTACTGATGAGGATAATTTTGTTTTCTGGTGGGGCTGTCTTCAGCTTTCTTTATGGTCAGGAGGAATTTGGAGGCATATGACTAGTTCCTGAAAAAATGTAAATAATGTACAGAATTAGGGTGGAGTACTTGAATAACCTTATAGGCTAGAATACCAGAAAGATCAAGTTTTCAGCCTACAGAAATTCTTTATGTAGTGTGCTCCGTGGCAAGAAGCACTGTGTCAGTAGGTGGAGAGGGGAAATGTTAGAACATTTGTTACATGCTGATTAATTGCTGTCAAGTGTTGCATTTAAAACAAGATCTGTATTTTTTAAAAAATCTGATCTGGTAGTTTGACCACAAACAAAGCATGAGCAATGTCTGCAATTGTATGAGTACTGACATCCTAAAAACTCAGGGAGTGAGGAGCAGCCTTGAGGAATTCACAGAGTAAGAAGACACGAAAGCTGAGTTTGGAAGGGACTGATTTTCCACATAAGTCTGAAATAAAAGATGAAGAAATGTTACTGGAACCACATACTATTTTTTTAGCTGTCATACAATTGACATAGCTATATGCTATTTATATAGGAGCTAATTAAAAGCTTTCCAAATTACTGCCTGAAAAAATGGGGTCACACATTTTCCTTTCATACAAAAGATTTTTAGCACAGAAGACTGACATCTCCTGCATATTTCATGAATGTAGTTTCAGAAAACAATGTAGTCAGTGGGAACTTGCAGAGAAGATCCAGCAGAACTATTTTTCCTTTGCCTGGAAAGAAACTGGGCCTTTAAAAGAGGATTCATCTTGCCTATTTTCAGACATCTATATTTGAGATGTCTGCCTTGGGGTGAGATGAACTGAATGTGTGAAGGGAGTGTTTCTTTCTGCTGACTTTAAAAGCATACATGGCTCATGTATGGCTGGCTGCGTTTGCGCAGGTGAATTTCACTCTGGAGATCTACAGTAAAGTACAGTTCTCTGGCAATGTGTGGAGGAAGAAGAAAACAGATGGGACTGGACACTTTTCAGTGGGGTGTTCTTTTCCTCCCAGTGTCACACAAATGGGATCCATCCACAGCAACAGATCTACGAATTGTGCAGCCATCCTGGTGACAGGACTCCCACAAAGACAGGAAAATCAAAGCAGGGTTGTTAGAAAAAGGCCTGAACAATAGATATATTTCAGTTAAAGAAACTGTTGATTATTTTCATGGGACAAGAATTAATCTCAGCCTTTTTAAAGAATGTTAAGAGTAAAAATTTTGAGTATAAGAAAAATCAGAACATTGTGTGTGATTCTTACAAAGCAGTAGAACTTCCATATTTATATATGAGGATAGAAGCACCAGGAATATATCAATACTTGTTTGAAAAGTGCTACCAATAAAGAGATTTTTGAAAGCACCATTAACTCCCAATGGTGAAATAAATGGGAGCAGATTATTAAAGCAGATAAAAAAGAGTAGCTGTTCCATAGCAAATCCTTTTATGCAAGCTATGTGTCACTCAGTTACGCCCTACTTGACTGGATAGACTTAAGGAATCAAATAAGAATTGCTGCTGAGAAATAAGTTTCCATTTCACTTAAAGAAGAAATTTGCTACATACACATGAGATATTTATGCAGTTACTAAAAGTGTTACATTTTCCAGTTTTCAGGCCTTGAAGTGTAAATTATAAATATTGTAATTTCTCTTCTGTAACACATACTATACATTAAAGCACAGTCACATTTCAAAGTCAAATGTGATACATCACAGTGAGGACTTGGAGCTCTTCTCTGTTCTGTTTCACAGATATGGTCAGGGATTTTTCTGTAAAATCTTCAAATTAAAAAAACCCATTCAGACTAACAGATGAAAGAGAAATTTTAATTTCCAACTAAATAGTAATAATAATTAATTAATAATTGTAAATAATAAATAATTTTAATTTGTTTTTTAATGTCTTGGTAAGAGACTAGAGCCTTTAGTCTAGAGACTAGAGCTTTTATGTAAACTACTAGTTTATATGTTACCCTCATCTCCAGGTATCTAAATGACATCTGACAACTTTATGTCCCAAATATCGGGCTGCCTAAAATTTTCCTGATATTGCACAGATCCCACTGATTTTACTAAAAACCCTAAGACAAACATACAATAGTGTAGGGGGTTGGGCTCTTTGTGTGGTGCAGCATGTTAGTCCTTGATGGGCAGTGCAGGCAGGCCTGCTTCTGCCCAAATCGTTATGTATGTTTTTGCTTGTCTTTCTGCAATGATTGTTATTTCTATTCTGTTTTTTTAAATTAAAGCTTGTAGCAAGCCGAAGTTTTCTATGCTTGCTTTATCGTAGAGTTGTTGGCTGACTTCTCAGGTTGATTTGGGTTTAATTTTCCATCTTCTTTCTTTCTTTGTGCTGATGTATTTGTGGTAACACATTGCATGGAACACTCATGTAAGGCCTTCCATAAGTAAAGTTCACTGTCTTGATTATGTCTGCAGTTCACAATCGCTTGATAATTTTGATTTCTTTTGCGTGCATGCAATGTACAGTGTACATTACACTATAAACTTAGAGATTGCCATGTCATAGATGATGTGTTCAGCTATTTCATTCACAGTCTTCTGTTTTTAGGTGCTGTGGATGAAAAAGTATAAACCATCTCATATGGAGCTGTGAACTATCACAGCAGCTGTGGGGAAGAAACCGGTTGTTTTATAAAGGGTTGTCAGTTATATGCTATGTTCATACTCATTTTGTCTTTTTCCCTTTTATAAAGGTGTTGGAGATGGAGGAAATGAATTAGGAATGGGCAAAGTAAAAGATGCTGTAAAGAAGCACATAAAAAATGGAGATGTTATAGCTTGTGATGTTGAAGCTGATTTTACTGTTGTAGCTGGTAAGGGATTTTTGGTGGGGTGGGAGAGTAGCTGGTGTTTAAGAATAGAACTGACAGGGAAACATTTGCCTTTCCAAGTAATTTTTATTGGCCCTTTCCAAGTCATCCTCAGCAAACTGATCTATCTCTGTATTATGTACCTTTTCTGAAGAGTTAAGCACATGTTGCTTCAGAAGAGCTAACTCAAAATTGAGAATGTTACATTAACAAATTGCACTTAATTTGAAATAGTTCAGCAAATCATGAGTATTTTTGAAAAATCACACGTTATATAAAATCATAGAACCATAGAATCCTAGAATTATTTGGGTTGGAAGGGGCCTTGAAGATCATCTGGTTCCTAGTCCCCCTGCCATGGGCAGGAAACCTTTCACTAGACCAGGTTACTCAATAACAAATATTAATAAGGAAGACTGCAGAAGTGATCTGTGTGAGAATTAAAATGTCTGTGCACATACAGATTTTCAGTATAATTGATAAACTTCTGTTTAGAGTGTGCCCCTTTACAAAGATATAAGTTCTTTCAATAATCACTCAAGGACAAATGTATATTCTTGATGTTCTTGCTGTTCAGCAAAAGGTGAATGTTATAGTTAAAATTCTGCTTTACACCAGCATGAAATAAAATTCACAGTGAGAGAGAATGTTCAGCACAGACCAGCCTGTGCACTGGCCAGTCTGTATTGTCCTTGGGCTCAGGTTTCTGTGTCCCTAACCCGGGTGTCTGTGACACACTCTGACATTTGTGCAGTTTGGTTTCACGGTGCTCCTCTTTGCAGGGGTCTCTAACTGGGGTGGCTACGCCATCGCCTGCGCTCTGCACGTGCTGCGCTGCTGCGACGCCCACGGCCGCTACCTGCGCAGAGCCGTGGGCCGCCCACGCGCGCCCAGCCACAGGCCCTGGCTGCCAGCGCTCCCGTCCGTCCCCAAGGTAGCTCCTGGCCAGGGCTGGCACTTGATCATGGCAGGGAGATGGAAGTGGCCAGCAGCTGCTGCAGCCTGCCTGGGCCGGTTCATACCTGACCTTCACAAGGTCTTTGGGCACTTCTGGGGATTCCTTGTGAAGGAGCAGCCACGCTGTCCTTATATGTTTTCCACAAAGGATTCGAAACATTGCAAATAAAAATCCTCCATGTCTTGTAACTTCAAGCAGAATACAGTGTTACAATTTTATGGGCAATGCAAGAAATCCTTAGATTGACATACAGTGGTTAAAATTCCCTGTTTGCTTCCTTAGTATCATTTGTGATTTGATAACCCTCTGTTGTAGTGTCCTTTAGATGTCTGTTTCCAAAATCAAAAGTTACAGCTCTTATGTGGTAGCCAGTCCATACTTCTGATCTTTGTACATTACTTCTGATCCTACCCTTTTTCTAGTTTGCTGGAACCTTTCTACAATTAGTTTTGAATCTTTCTAAATTAAAGTTGGAGAAAAACTTGTTCATGAATATTTTTAAATGTGTTTTGACTAATGCAGCTCTGTACAGTGTGATATTCTGGGAATGCAAAGGTTTCAGACTGAGAAAAAGTAAAATAACTGAGAGGGGTGAGAAATGACGCTGATCTGTGCTCATCCTGCAAAGCACGTGCCTCTATTTTTAACTTGACAGTGGTTAAAAAAAATCTGTCTATACACACACACACCCCCCTAATGATTAAATAAGATTTGTTCCACAACTTTGCAATAAATTAGGAGCTTCAAGATTTCAAGGTTCAGCTTTATTAGCAGAGATTTGGACAAACCCTTTAAGTGTGTGACATTCAAGAATGCTAAGCAAAATGCAATCCATCACCATAGCTACTGCCCAAAACAAAGAAGTTTTTCTCCTGAGATGATGGGACATTCTGCATGAAATTCCAACAAAGCACCTTTAAGTATTTTAGAGTAGATCTCACTAATTTTTTTTTCAAATTCTTGCTATCTTAGTTTTTCATCTAAATGTCATAAAACTGAAACTGATCCCAACACTTGGCATAGCCATATAGCTTAACAAAGCTTATATGGCCCTTTTCAGCACAGTCTTTTTTATAAAACAGATTAATTATTTTTCAGTTTTCAATGTTTTTCCAGTTGCATCTACTGGTTTTTGACCTTTAAATTAATGCATCCTAAAATGAGGGTGATCAAAATTCCTGGTAATGAGATACTGTAATTAAATGTTATATTGTGTACGGGAAAATCTTCTTGTTTTTGTTTTACTAAGCTATACAGCTGGGAATATTAATGATCCAATAATGGGCTACTGAAAGTGCAATACTGAAATCTGTTGAGATAAAATAAATGGAAACAGTTTTGTGGAGGAGAGAAAATGACAAAATGTCTGACAAGAAAATATGATATCTTTAATTATAAATCACACAACAATGAACAATGCAGAAGATTGAATACATTAGTATTCGCATACTCCATTAGTATAAAAAAATCAGACCATTTATGTTTATATGGCTACTTTCTGCAAAATTCAGCTTCATTTAATGCTATAATAATTACCCTAGTGAGATAAAGAGCAACACCACGCAGATCCATCTCAGTGTTTATATTAGTGATTGTAATTGGAAAGAGGACATTTGAAGGAGTCCCTTAGCACCAAACAGCTTTCTTATAATGTGTTTTATTTTTCTTCAAAAAATGGCACTTCCATGAATGCTGTAGGTCATAATTGCTAAGTGAAGACTTCCCCTGAAACACCAACATTATTTCTCTTCAGCTGGTTCGAGCAGTGTCAGGACTGCACTGCCAAACCCCAGAACTGCAGAGCTCTCCTTTCCCACTGAACAGCAAACTGAGACTGCTCTGAGTTCATGGATGACCCTTTCCACGCATCTTAGTGAGAGATGCTGCAAAGCATTTGTTCTGTGCTGAGAACTGCAGGAACAGGAAACAACTGGACCTAAATAATCATTGCTTGCCTTTACCTTTGCTTACCTAATAATTTGATTATGGTATTGGCTTGGTTTTTCAGGTGTTCGTAGTACTTTTACACCAAAGTGACTGTAATGAAATGAATTCATTCATACATATCCAAATGTAGCTAATGCTTAATTTAACATCCTACAGTCAACTCTGCATTTCCTTGCATCTCACAGACAGGTTAATATATCAAGCATTTGTTCTTTAACTGACGTCTTTATTAATGGCAACATATTAGCTGTATAGTATTTTTTAATTATGACCGATAAGAATATTTAGTATATTATAAATATATAAAGGTGTGACATATTTTTAGTGTGCTTTATTAGCTTTGTCATTCATAAGGAAGTTTTCCCCTTGAATAAAGCACAAACTAACGAGATATTTTTCTATTAATATGATTATTTTTTCCAGTTACCCCACTCCCAACATAATTATTTACTAAAGGGAAAGCTTTGGTCAAGTTGCAGCACTGTACAGCTAAGGAAGCATGCTATACATTGTATTTGCTTATTACAAATGCAAACTGTAGCATTTGATGACAGGCTATGGTTTATCAGGCATAGTAGTTATGTAGTATTAAACAAGAAAACTTTTTTACCTCATATAAGCAGATCAGAGAGCTATAATATGTAAATATGTAGCACAGACTATTCGTATTAGACATTACATTTTCTGTATCCAATTTAGGTGTCTCTTTTGTGACAGGAGAGATCTCCTTTGCCCTTTTGCATTTAGATACACTCAGTGCTAAGAGAAACCTCTGTTGTGCAGAAAGATCAGTTGCATATATTTGCATTTATGTATATGATCATTCATATGATATAAACTGATGTGTATTTATAATTTTATTAATTATAATAAAATATAGCAATTTTTATGCTACCAGTGTATCCAGATAATTTCCTTAAATTGTGTCACTGCTGACACCATGTAACTATGCATATTTTTCCTTTAGTAGAAAACCAGAGCTTCATTTAATTTTATTGCAGCTAAGAATTAGGATGATTTACCAGGAAATAATATACAGATCTTTAGAAAGTACATTTAGAGAGTAGGTTATAAAATTAAACTGAATTGATCACACAGAGCATGCTTTGCTTCATTCAGAAATTATTATATTTTTGCCATTTTATCATTAGGTAAAATACAACCATATTGTGTCTCAATTCAGATCCACAGCTACTATATTCTTTGTGGTTTAGAAGTGTTCCTAGAAAAATGTTAACATTTGATAAGAGAAAATTAGATATTTTAACTTTTTTTTTCCATCATTCATGTGTGTCCAGGAGATAAAGAACTTCTGCTACGTTATTGTGTGGTAATGTCAAATACCACAGTGTTAAAAGTATTAAAGCTTATAGAGCTCTTTGTCAAGGACACTGGTAGGATTGTTGCAGTAGCAATTTCCATGGAAATGGAAATGGCACAGTAGACAATGACCAGAAAGGGCATTCCTAGTAAAGAAAGAGAGGAAAAGATAAATAGGTGAGTGTTTCAAGGCCTTATATAACCTATTGCAGGGTTGGCATAGGGGAAGCTAAAAAGTCACCAGGTTGTTAGTTTTCTTAGACTTATTAACAGAATTCAAGGAATAAATTCTCACTATAAAAAATAGGAAGTTTTACTGTGTACATTTCATGGCAAGTGAAGAGCAGAGCAGTTTATGCCAGACATACATTCACTTGAAACCAGATCTTCAAAATTCACTTTTCCCTGTGTCTTTTTCAAAGCTCATTTTATCCCTTCTTTTCATCTCACAATGCTAATTGGCCCACAGCTCACAAAAAAATTATTTTCTTCCCTCTGTGTACATTTACGTCTCAACTTGGAACACACTTTGTTATCTGCTTATATTAGTTAAGCAAGATAATAACTGCACTTCTAAACAAAGCATATGCTAGTTCAGAGCATGCCAAGGAAACACAATTTCTGAGGTTGTTTTCTCCCCACTCCTTCCCTAAGCAATCAGAATTCTCATAAAATCAACAATGAAAAGGGAAGACAGGGCCAAAGGCACAGAGAGATCGGAGAAGCTGCAGGAAAGGAAAGTGAGTGTGCAGCCCATCCAGGTGCTCTCTGTAACCTTTTTTCCTGCTGCACCCTCCTTCTCTTTTTTCTTTTTCTATAAAAACGCAGCTGCAGCCAGCTGCCTGGCTGGGGAAACCACAGATGGATTTTTGAGATACTTTGGGTGGAGGTTCCTCTGATTCTGATTTGTGCAATATAGGAACTCAAAACCAAGCAAAAAATGATGTTTCTGAATTGACAATAATGTTCTGTTTGAGGCAGTGTGGAGAAAACTAATATTCAGTGGTTAAATAGAAGTCAAAATTATAAAGCACCTGACACTCCCTGAGCTCCAGATGCTAAACATGTTCTTTGGAACAAGATAGTACGTGCAAAGTTGATGGCAAAATTAATATGAAGGATATGGTCGGTCTCGCCCAGAATTAAAACAAAGATCTTGATGACTGCCCTTGTCTGATTCAGAATTTTAATTATACTCTGTTTCTTTGTTTTTCAAGGAAGAAAAGCTTCTGAAAACACTTGTCCAGCTCGGGGTCCGCAGTGGCAAAACTGCCAGTCTAGAGATGGAAGTGGATGGGCTGCCCTTCTACAGCACCCATTCCCTTATGATTGAAAAGCTGCTGCAGGAAGCACAGCAGTGACTGTCCCTAATGATGTCTACATGAAGAGTGGCTCCCATGTCCTGTCCTTATTTTTGAGGCTCTCTCAAGGTGTAAAAGATCAGAAAAAGATGACTTTTCATCTCTGGTGTCTTCAACCCACACAGCCTTTCATTGTTATCCTTACAACATCTCTGTGAAATAAGAACAGGATATCATTCACTTGGTCTATCTTTCTTTTCTGTAATTATATAATGGAAAATGAATATTAAATGATATTATATAATAAGAGGTGATCTGGCTTTTACAAAGAAAGCATGAAATTACAAGGAGATATTATTGCACTGGTGTTCTTGTTTTACTAACCTCATAACTGCAACAGGAAGTAACTCGCATAGCAACTTGGATTTAAAAATACTTGTGGTAAGGAAAACAGCTACAATAGAGAGGGAAGATTCAAAACAAAACTGCAGTTACTGTACTGAGAGCTCCATTGCACACTTCCTCTAGCCCCCTCTAACACTGTGTTCTTGTGGTGGGGGATAGTTTGTGGAAGTGTGAGGAGTTAAGGAGAAAATTTTAACTGAGCTAATGAAAATAAGGGCAGCATTGCAGATCTTCTGTGTAAAAGGCTGGCTGTGCCACTACCCCCTGTCATATTAGTAGTTTGCCACTTACATATTTTGCCACTTTATGGGTAATAGAGAAAAGTTGTAGACATTTCAGAGTATCCTGTTGTTACAAAGAATATAAAAATAATTATTAAAATTAATTATTAGAAATTAAAGTATTATTAGAAATGAATAAACATTTGTATGCAGTATGACATAATATTATGTAAATAAACTTTTACATGAATTCCTGTTGCAGAAGTTCAGCTCCTGACAAGACCAAGTGAAGGAACATTGAATTCTATCCCATAGGATTACTAACACTAAAGCAATACATGAGAAATGGTTGTGAACTGTGCCCAGATTTTGTCATTTAAAGCTGTAATTTTACCTTAACTCCAGGTGAGTGTCAGAACTACAGTTCTGCCGGCTGTCAGCCTGTCGGAGTCCAGGACATCCTTCTGGCTGCCCTGGCTGTCTCGAGACCCTAGCAGGGGTCTCAGAGACCCTGGCAAGAAGTGAAAAACATCTGTGGCTTTGGTTTTAGCCCATGGAAAACTGCCAACTCTTGATGAGGAATTACAAGTCACAAGGGTTTTAGTGGTGTGATATTTGAACTAACACAGGGTGGAAAAGTAGAATTTTGGGATTTTTAGAATGGGGTTCAAGGGGGTACAAGATGGAGGAATTTGGGCGTGTCCTAGCCTTCTCCTTCTTTGTCTTGTCCTCCATGTCTTGGTGTGATGGTGGCACTTTTCTATTGGTTTAAGTAGAGATTCATGGTCTAACACAGGTGATGGGAATTGACAAAGAAATTGTAAACACAGACATGTAGTTTTCAGTATATAAGGTGGGAGCCGCCCAAGGCTGGGGGCAGAATGCCATGGCCTCCTTGCTAGCTAGAGCTCGGCAGGTCAGAGAGACAATATTTTAGATAAGAAGAAATAAACAACCTTGAAAAAGCACAATTGGAAGCATTCCAGGCTCCTTCTTTGGCTGCATTTGGGCTAGGGAAGCAAAGACTCTTTTAGATCTCTCTTGGGGTCACCCTGACCTAGGAACCCCGAGAGAGAAATCGACATCAGCCCACCCAGCAGAGAGAGGAGGGTACATTTAACACCACCCCTAGAGCACTGGTGTTTTACCTGTCATAAAATGGAAGTTGCATTTAGTTGGATTTTCAGCAGTGAGCAACACTTTATATCTCTTTTCCTTCCTGGCAGGTGAGTTTTATTTTCCTTTTTCGATGCAAGACAAACAACTTTTTTGGAATGAGAAATATAATTTCATACCACAAACACCAGCATATTTTGAACAATAATCTCCTGAAGTCCCTGAGGATACAGAGCCTTTAAAGACATAAAATAGTTGTACACATGACAGAAAAAAATCTTAATGCCAGACTTTTTGTAGACATTCAGGTTCACCAAAGATCCCAATGCTTATTTTCTAGATAGATGAGTCATTTTTTTTAATATTTGTTTTATCTAAAACTTTCTCACGGGATGTTCTAGAAAAGTATCTTTAACTGTGAAGTTTCACAGTTAAAAATATCTCCTTTAGAAGTCTCCAAACTCTCTAATCTGTCAGTATTAAGTAAAATATTTCATATGAATGCTTGAACTTTTTGCCAAAGCCAGTAACCCCACACGATGGCATATATTCACTGCTGCACAGAACTCACAGAATGAAATGGGCATCATTTTAAAAGAAGCAGCTGATTTTATTCTCTCTGTGCTACTGAAATGTTACACTAACAGGTGCAATGTATATTTATAAGCATTAACTTGTAAAAAAATTTAATTTAGTAAGCTTTTGCTCTTTTTTCACCCCAAAATACAAGTCTTAACAATCAGTTTTCATTAAAAAATACAAAATTTAATAATTTATTTCTCTTTTTCTCTAGTATGTGCTTTTAAAATGCCTTCTTGTGTGCAGTCCCAAGCATGGCATTTACTTCAATAGCATGTGTAGCATGTCTCTAGCAGCCTTAGCAGGACCCTTGAGTGAATGTGTTTTGACTGAGATGGAAGGAAAAGCTCTGAGTGGGAGTTACCTTCCTGCTGTAACCTGCTGTATTGGTTCTGCAGCCTCAGCCAAACAGTTACAGTACAGAAAGAATTGATAAAATATTGTCCTCAAGAAGAAAAAGGGGAAGAGAAGAAAAAATCCCTCCTTTCTGTTCTGGGTTAGCAGGTTAAGTGCTGAGAACTGCAGCAGAAAGCTGCACTGTGTTGCACAAGTTTCCATCTGATTTTAAACTGCAGCAGCTGACCAAAGCTGGCCATATCAAAGTTCCATCTCAAATGAGCCTTAATCCCTCCAATGACAACTCCATGTAGTACAGCATGCTCTGCATTCCAGCTGTCTAATTTAAACAGCATGGGGAACTTTAAAGCAGCAACACATAAACACAGCAACAAATATTTAATCCTAGAACAAACCACATGTATTGCAGCCTGACAGGTCGTGGGGGTCCAAGGACTTGGTGCTTAACAATGTACAAGCTCAGCACTCCAGCAGTTGGGAGGGAATCCCTGCCTTACATCCCCTTGGAATACACCACAGATGAGAGGAAAGATGAGGAGAAAATAAAGCTAAACAGTGCTAATAGTCAGGAGAAAAAAATGCAGATGTAAGGTAATTAATCCAGCTGAGTGGTCAAAGTATAAAGAAATGTAAAATAATTAAACAAACCAAATGTTACCCTAAGCAAACCTAATCCCCTCTTGGGACTGGGGACATGAATCCTTTCTGCAAGTGGAGGGAGGAGAGGATTCATAGTCTCACAAATAGAAACTGTGCGCCAAAGCTAAAGATCGTTATTTCAAACACGGTGTGAAAAAATATAAAAAGGAAATTACAAAAATATTCTTTATTAAACACATACTCTAATTATATCCAAACACATTCTCTAATTATATCCAATATTGCACTCTCAAGGTGGTTTCCAGAAAGCTGTTAGAATATATTTCTTTTGGAATCTGATGACAAGCAAGGCTGTGTTACAATGACATATTCAGATAGCAGGAGTAGACCATCTGTCTAGACAATCTTTTGACTCAAAAGCAAACCAAAGAAACAAAGCTGATAATACTGCTGGAAGTTATCAGCTCCGGGTTGCAGAGAGAGAGGTGTTGCAAGGAAGGTCTGAAACCAGAGAATTGAAAGGACAAAACAATATTCATGGTGTAACAGCTGCAGGTAAAAGGAGGTGTGATGAGCAGCTTGCAAAGAAGAATCACATAGAATTCATTAGTGTAACAAAAAAAAAAACCAAGGAAACCTAGGGAGGAGGTGGTAGTAGATACAATACTGTGGAGCACAACTCCCAAGTCTTTAAAAGCCATTATTCTTCACTTACTCCTGTATTTTGTTTCTGTCTAAACCAGGACACAGATCATTCATACATCATATTTCTGATACTGTGTTTACTGAACAATGACCAAACCCTAAACTATACTATCTGTGGGCAAAAACATGGTTTAAACAGATTCATTCAACAGTTTCCCTGACAAATGCATTGTTATTTAATTGCCTGCATGGTCTATGCTGCACAAGATACACAAATTGCAAAGGACACAAGCAAAACCTTAGCAAGGTGTAGTAGAATTTAGATGTAAATAAATATTCTTGAACACAGTTACTCAAAGAAGCACATGGAATCCAAGTGCCTTGTGTACTACCAACCTCTTTTTCTCTTCCAAGTCAACAAACCAAGTTATTGACACCCACTGGAGCCCAGAGTCTCATACTTCCAGAAGTCTCTAGGAGCCTTACAATGAAGTTTAACAGTCTGAGATTCAACAGTGAAATAACAGCCTCGAGGTCTCAGCAGGTGATGAGTTCCTTGTGAATGTTCTCCCATAATGTCTTGCACTACCAGACTGATTGTTTTAGGAATCTGGTTCTGGCATGGTCTCTGCAGGCTTTGAAACTTGCTGGAGAAGTTTTTTCAGAGAGTTACAGAGATGTTGCACAAGTGTTTTGTTGGGCTTTTTATTTTTAAAAGTATATATGGAGATATGTAATTTTTTTGTCTCTGACCTTTTCAACAGATAATGACAGCTTGTAGAGAATTACTTTCTCTAGATGCTACAGGGGCAAACAGAAAGCAGCTAAAGATGAGTTCACCAGAACTACACACTGTGAGTACTGGCTTATTCCAGTCCATGCAGTCATCAAGCCAAACAGGTTTTAAGTGGTAGCACAACAGATATACGATTATAACTGAACTGACTTTCCTCACTGTTGCCAGGCTGCCAGGCTCCAAGCACCTCTAGAAACAGCTTCACTGTACAGCATTGCTCATAAGCCTTTGGGAGGTCACACTGTTGTAATACATTAATAATTCAGACAGATACACAAACATGGCCATAGCTGCAGGTGTAGGATTAAGGTCCTTTTGATTAATGCTATAGGCTGCCTACATTAGTTGTGAAGCAGTCCTTCATTCCAGCACCATCAAGGGGTATTTGTAATAACCCTGGTTGTTGTTCGTGCTGTTTTCTGTTGGGAGTTTCAGTACTGTTTAGTGGATAGGATTCCTTCGTCTCAGTACTCAGATGGCTTAAACATGTTAGACAAGAGTCTCTCATCTTGACAAAGTTCTGGTAAGTGCTTTCACTGGAAAAACAGTACAATACTGGGTCAGCAACACAATTAAAAGTAGTTAACAGGAGAGAAATATGGTAAACATTAAATATTTTCTCAGCAAATGAGCAGTTGTTCTCCAACAAGCTACGAACTACAAGTAGGATGTGGTATGGTCCGAAGCAGACTAAAAATATGAAAACAGTGCTTGATACCAGTCTTTTAATTTGGATTTTCTTCTTCTTTTGAGTGCCAGGACTCTTGTGGACAACTCGTAAAATCCCACAGTAGGAGAAGGCCAGCAGAAAGAAGGGGAAAAGGAAGCCAGCAGAAAATCGGTAGTAATTGACATTGTGCTCCCATTTCTTGATGGGGTAATGCTCAAAGCACACCAAGTGGCTCTCAGCATCCATACTGATCTCCCCGTGTGTGAAGACAAAGCAGCATGTCATAATTTCTTTGGCCCAGATAATGATGCTGACAATGGCAGCAGCCTTCATGGTCCGAAAGCGCTGGAACCGAAAGGGGTGCACCACGGCCAGGTAGCGGTCGATGGAGATGCAGCACAGGAAGCCCACGCTGATGTAGATATTCTCATACAGGATGATGCCACAGACTTTGCACAGCAGCTCATCGTAGGTCCAGTTGTCATGCTGTAAAGCATACTGAAGCCAAAAAGGCAAAGAAAAAATGTACAGCAGGTCTGCTATAGTCAAATTGCAAAGGTAGATACCTAATTCATTTTTAGCCTTGATCTGTAAATACCCATAGTACAGTGACAGGCAGTTAGCTGGCAAGCCTAATACAAACACAAATATGTACACCACGGGGGATAATGTCTGGTGGATACCATGATTAATATTGCATTTCTCAGTAGCATTCTCTGTGAAATTCACCATCTTCTACTTCTCCCTGTGTATCACTCATCAGGGTCTTGAATGTAAGACTTAATTACATTCAGTTTTCATGTAGAGTTTATTTCTTCCACAAACCCTTAGGCTGAAGTGATGACTTGCTGTAGGATGTTAATAACCTGAAGATAAAACACAAGGAAATCTTTAGAAGGGATAAAATTGTTAAATATATATTACACTTTTCAAAAAGCTGCCTTTTCTTAGCCCTAAGTCTTTGATAAAGATAAAGCCTGTCTGGGAAATCAAGATGCACATAATTCCTAGTGCATAATAGAAAAGTGCCAGAAAATTATGTGATTCAGAATCACAAAGCAAGTTACAAATATTTGTTGTTTTAGCTTTGGAGGTACCTAAAATGTGAAGAAATATCATCTCTGGTTTACTGATGGGGCAGAAAAGCAGTCATCAGATTTGACTGTGATGGAAAAGGTGTCTCTGGTAAACCAGCAGTCCACACAGAGTTCCTCAGAGTATGTAGAGTGCACAAAACTCTTGATTAATTATTTCCATTTCTTAAATTTCCCTTCACATACAAGATACCATGTAATATGCAGTTCAATTCAGCAGGTTAAATAAACAAAGTCTCTCTTACAGTTACTTGTAAAAGCAATCCTGAAAGCAAGCTCTCTTCCTGTGTTGGAAGGACATGGTGAAACTCTGGTACAGCACATCTCCATGGTCTCAGTTCTACAGAATATTAAATATTTGCCATCAACTCCAAAACCCACACATTTATGACTTTTACATTTGTATCTTTCCCTTTCATCTTCACTGAATTTGAATGTAATTGTTTTCACCTGAAGAATCTGGTATAATCCAAACACAAACCCATAGAAGCCCTTGCTGTGCTATGCTATGCTATACTGTACTGAGCTATACTATAACTATTTAATACACAAAAACACTGCTGACAGTGGATTAGCACTCAGTTCTAGGTCAAGCCTGGGCCCAGCTCACAGTGATGAAACTCTCAACTAAACAATGAAATCCCCCATCCAGCATTTTATCACCTCATGGTATATTCACGTGGGCACAGATGCTCAGCCCTGGAGAGCAGCAGGGCAAACTGCCTAGTCTGAAGGGAATGCATGTTTTACCTGGTGGTACAGAACAGCAAGACTGTATTTCTTTCAATCTCTGCTCAGAAAATTCAGGGATGGTTGGTATACCTTTCTAAGGTAACCATGGTACTCTTGTGTACTCTTTTCACAGCTTCACATGCTATGGATTCAAAAGAAGCACTATCCAAAAATAAGGCCTTGCTGCTTTTTCCTTTTTGCTATGCTAATTTGCATTTTTGTCATCATCTTCTGTCCTATCTAGGAACATAAAATTTCTTCCAAGGCAAAACTTACAAAATCATGACCACACTAGAGTAAAATTAGCTTTTGAGGATGTTACTGTCAAATTCTTTTTTAATACTTTTTTTTTTTTTAATAGAGATAGATAGGCTTTACTCCTGTAAAAACTGAAAAAAAAAAAATCACTTGCTTTAAGTGCTTTATCACTTGTCTGGCTGAAATAAGTGATCAAAACTGCAAAGAATTTCATTTTTTAGCTTCAACCAGCAGAGTTCCATTGAATTCACAGCAAACACATACAAATAAGAATTGTGATGTGGTTTTTGTCCCTTTACTTTTACTTTTGCTTTCCAACAGAGGGAATACCAGCTCTGGTTTTGGTGAAAATATCCTTGGGAGCTCAGAAACTCTCAGTCATGAAACAACAGGCCAAGGTAAGTTCATCTCCCTCAAAACTTTTAACTCCACTATCCAACACAATCTGTGTGAAAGGCTGCTCAAGTCGAGCACTCTGCTCTCCTCCACCTCTCAGTCTGAGCAGTTCCTTTGGGGTTTAAGAGCCTCACACTCTCCACTGTGTCTATCACAATAGTTACAGCTCATTTATCAAGCCTCAGCAGGAGAAATGCTGCGAAAGGGACCCAGTCACAGGTACCTGTGGTTCAGTTTGAAGTTTGCTCCAGGAGATTGCCATAGCCTTCCCCTGGGATGAATACAACAGTGTTAGCAGTGCTGACATGAACAGCAGAAATCAACCACTGATATTACGTACAAATTTCCCCAACCACTGGTACCTAGGGGCCATTAGCTCCCCTGTAACACTACGCAGTTTCTCCAAGGCTTCATAACCACCACATATCTCTTCCATATGCAGACATATTGCACAGAATATTTGCTGAGGCAGGTTTGATAACCTTCTTACCCCAACCCACCTTTTTAATCCAGAGCTCCAGGCCTGAGTTTGTATTTGATAGCATTTCTGTATAATCATTTGGTGACTTTTACATGTAAGGGTTTGCCTGAACAGGATGATTGGCACACCTTAGTTATTCTCTAAAATACCTAAATTCTGAGACCTATCATCATATATACCAGCCCAGTGCCCAGCAAGTGTCCAGCTCCTGTCAATAGGGCCAAATAGTAATTCAAAAGCTGCTGACAGTTTTGAAAATTCAGAACTATCTTTATATGTCTATCACTGAGTTTCATTCAGTGTTACCCAGTGAGTCATTATGGATCATAGTATGAAGAAAAGCAGATGGACTTTACAGCTGTAGTGTTTTTTTAAAGTTTCTTTACCTCTAAGAACTCTAAATGTTTTTATCAAATTATGTTTTCATACAGAGAATATAATTATTTGTAATAAGTAAAATAATTTCTGCTTAGTTTAAAAGTCTTGCCAGAATGCAGAATGCGAAGAAGGCAGCAAAAGTCTTATTGATACAATATTATGGTGATATAATATACACTTCTGCTAACAGCAACATTTTCTGCTCTTGGAGGAAATGCTGGATTGGGTGTTCAAAGGGGCAGGAAGAGAAGATTGGCTGTAACAAATCTCTTTGCCTTGTGCTAAGCTCCCCAGTTTCAAAGATGCAAATGAAAAAGAAAGATTCAGATTCTTGTGCAATAGCTGTCTTAGACTGCTGTTCTGGCCAGTGGCAACAGTGGGCCAGGAAATCCTTCCCTTGTTTCAGCCTCCTCAGTGTGTGGGCTCTGGGCTGCCTTTGTACCCTTTGACCACTCATGCCTGGCTAAGGACAGACTCAGCAGCCAAATGGAAATACAGAGGCAGTTCAACTTTTCCCCAGCACCAGGCAAACTAAATATAGCTCTACACTAGCCAGGGAGTGAAACTGTAGGAATTTTACAACTAAGCTGGTGTCAAAGGACTGCCCCAGCAGCTTTAAATAATGGGTGTGGAAGAGCCCACTCTGTTACTAAGAACATGTGACACAGTACTTTACAAGCCATCTGAAAAAGTGGAAAATGAAGTAAAGGTGATGCAGGGTATAGAAGAGAAAAGTCAAATAGCTCCCCCATTACTTATTGGCCACTTCTGTATAGAGGGAAAAGAAAAATTTAAAAAGTTGCTCTATGAAAAACATCTGGGGTGCAGACAATCAAAAAGCTGAAAACAGTTATGAACAGGAACACACAGGCATTTCTTTCAGACAGCTTTAATATGGATATAGTGCAGCTGTGTGACTTTTTTTTTTTTAATCATTGTTTATGATACCTTCAGTATCACAAGTCTGCAGTCATTTCCAGGCAATATTTCTCTCTCCTATATGCCCACATCTTTTTGATGATACCCATCTAAGCCTATGTCTTGGCAATAAATTAGAAGACTCTCTTCATCTACATGAGCTCCAAATAATTCTCTTGTTCCTGGATTAAAAACAAAGCCAAGGATCCCTGAGTTTCAGAAAGCCTCACTTTTTCATGGTTTAAAGAAGCCAACTTTATTACTCACTGTAGAGTTCAACAACAGTTCTTTCCCAACTCCTGTGTGTTAACAAACACATGACTTGCCCTGTGCCATGAGCCATGGGGCAGCTCACTTGTTAAGTGCTGCCTGCTGGCAATGGCACAGGAAGCAGCCAGAGCCACTGGCAGCAGCAGACTCTTCACCTTGGACCAAGTAGGAGCATGGAGCCCAGGTGGGTCTGTTCAATTTCAGCGAACACTGCTGCAATTTTCATTATAAGAAATCTGTCTGCAGCTTGGTCTACATATTTTTTTTGGCAGAGACAAACAGGACTGAACCCAAGAACTTCCTTGCTGGAATTTGCAACCATTATGCACCCAGCTTGTCTCGTCCACAGAGCACACGCTTCCATTAACAGGGAGTGCAGCATGCTTGTGTGCCTGCATGGGCTCTTGCTATTTAATCTGCCCTTCACCTGTCATACAGTGCAGACAGGCCTGAATCACTTGGCTCTCATTGCAGGACTTCAACTGTCCTGCAAATCGTGGAATCACAAACCTGGGGTGGTTTCAGTTTAGGATTTGGTTCAGGTCATGATCTACACAAACACCAGCCCTAAATTCACATGCTAAGATTCCTTCAACACTTGCAGGTTTGTCAGATTGTTTGATCCTGTTTCACAAAACCTGGAAGCGTAAGGCCAGATAAGAAGGCAGGGAAGCAATGAACAGCAGAAGAGACTAGAGACTGGGTGAACAACATAAAATAGGAAGGAAAGGCATAATAACCGTTAGAGTAAGTGTGAGGGGAAAAATAAGTAGAAGAAAGCAGAAATTTGGGTGCAGCACCACGTATGAAGAAAGAGCACAATGATATTTGGGTTTAATCGGAAGAACTGTGATGTAAAAGATGGACCTGTTAGAGCACAGAAATGACAAGAGGGGTGGAGCACTTCTCCTATGAGGAAAGGATGAGAAAGTTGGAGTAGTTCAGCCTGGAGAAGAGAAGGCTCTGGGAAGATCTTGTTGCAGCCTTTCAGTACCGAAAGGGGACTTAAAAGAAACATGGGGACAGACTTTCTAATCAGGACTTGTAGCAATAGGACAAGGGGCAATGGTTTTAAACTACAAGAGGGTAGAGTCAGACTACATACAATGATGAAGATTTTTATGATGAGCGTGATAAAACAGTAGCCCAGGTTGCCCAGAGAGGTGATGGATGTCCCAACCCTGGAAACATTCAGGGTCAGGTTTGACGGGGCTCTGAGCAACCTGGTCTAGTTGAAGCTGCCTCTGGTCATTGCAGGAGAGTTGGACTACAGGGCCTTTAAAGGCCCCTTCCAAACCTGACCATTCTGATTCTAGAAGGGTGTCAAGTAGAAAGAGCCATTAAAGGCAATGAAAGATACTTCTATTAACAAAAAATAATAAAGAAAAAGAAAGACAAGTACATATGAAGCAAAACACAAATATATATTTATTTTTATAGTATAGAATTTATATACCATATATTTATATGGTATATAAGTATATTTATATCAAGATATTTTTGAAATACTTTGAAATATTTGCTGTTGTTTTTTATACCATTCTTTAGAACCAGAATTGTTAACCAGTGTCTAACAAAATTGTTTTTAACAATAGGATGGGGGCATAGAGAATAGATCAACAAAGGCTAACAGATATTTTTAAAAACTACATGCACTCCAGGGGATTTAGTTACAGCAATTTGTGAATTATTGGTGGTAATCTTTCAGAAATTATGACAAACTGGGGTAAAACAGACATAACACTTTGTTTTGTGAAAAAGAGGAGTCAAATTGAGCTTCTAAATGAAGGCAATTTACATCTATGCAAAATCCATTCAGTGTTTGTAACTTGCAAGTGGATTTTTCTTATGTGAACCTCTGAGTACAGTAATTATTACTCTGTATATGTGGAAGGGAACTATAAAAATGTTCTGTAAATTACAAATTACTTTTGTCATTATCAGATGACACGTCTTGTAAACCTATTGTCAAAAAAGGAAGTCGGCAACTTTTTTTTCAGAAGCCACATAAACAAAAGACTAATTAGTCATCAATGCCCAATTTTTCCTAACACAGACATGCAATTTTTTACAGTCTTGAGTAAATCATTCCATTTGCTCCATCTTTTGATATTCTGAGAATTCCATGTTCTGTTTCTATACCTTTCCATTTCAGGTTTTTATGATTTTGGACTTCTTTGTTTTTGCCTGCACTTATAAAGGACAACTTGAGATGAAGGGCAAGGGAGGCAGGTAGGATAATTAGCACAGTTAGTCCAATATCATAGAATCATAGAATGGTTTGGGGTGGAAGAGACCTTAAAAATCATCTAGTTCCAACCACGGGCAGGAACAGCTTCCACTAGACCAGGTTGCTTAAAGCTTCATCCAGCTTGGCATTGAACACTTCGGGATGGGGCATCCACAGCTTCTCTGGGAAACCTCTTTCAGTGCCCCAACACCCTCACACTAAAGAATTTCTTCTTCCTACTATCTAATTGAAACCTACTTCTTTTAGTTTGAAGCCATTCCCTCTTGTCCTATCACCACATGTCCTTGTAAAATGTCTTCCACCATCTTTCTTTTAGGCTCCCTCCAGGTACTGCAAGGCAGCAATTAGGTCAGCCTGGAGCCCCCTCTTCTCCAGCTGGAAAATCCCAATTCCCTCAGCCTTTCCTCACGAGAGAGGTGCCCCATCCCTCTGATCATCTTGGAGACCCTCCCCTGGACTAATTCCAATAGGTCCACATCCTTCCTGTGCTGGGACCCCAGAGCTGGATGCAGCACTGCAGGTGGGGTCTCAACAGAGCAGAATGGAGGGGTAGAATCCCCTCCCTCACCCTGCTGATCATGCTGCTTTGGATGCAGCCCTGAACATTTTTGGCTCTGGGTTCCAAGTGTTCCTGTCCAGCCTCTCATCCACAAGCACCCCCAGGTCCCTCCCAGCAGAGCTGCTCCAATCTGTTTATGCCCCAGCCTGTGTTGATAGCAGGGGTTGCCCCAACCCAGGTGCAGCACCTTGAACTTGGTCTTGTTAAACCTCATGAGATTCCCATGCAATCACTTCTTGACCCTCTGGATGGTATCCTATCCTTTAGGCGTGTCACTTCTCTCTTTGGTGTCATCTACAAATCTACAAATCTCCTGAGGCTGCACTCAATTCCTTCTTCTATATCATTAATAAAAATGCTAAATAAAACTGGTCCCAGTACGGATCCCTGAGGAACACCACTTGTCACTGAGGTCCTTTAGGACTCTGAGCCATTGACCATGACCTTCTGCATGCAGCTGTTCCACCACCTAAGAATTCACCCATCAAATCCATCTCTCTCCAATTTACAGAGAGGGATGTTGTGGGGAGCCATGTCAAAGGCTCTACAGAAGTCCAGATAAATGACATCTGTGCCCTTCCCTTACCCAGTGATGCATTCACTCCATCACAGAAGGCACAGGCTGATGAGGCAGGACTTGTCCTTGGTAAAGCTCTGCTGGCTGTCCCAAATCACCTCCCTGTCCCTGATGTGCCTTAGCAGAATGTCTCGGAGGATCTGTTCTGTGATCCTCCCCAGGCACAGAGGTAGGACCCAGGGTCTGCCCTTCTATCCTTTAAAAAGATGGGCACAATGTTCTGTTTTTCCAGTCACCTGGGACTTCTGACTGCCTGACTTCTCAAGTATCATGGACAGCAGCTTGGCAAAATCTGCCTGTTCCCTCAGACTACTCACTCTGTCTCACACTATTTTTTATCTAGGATTAGGGTCTTTTTACCTCATGTGAGGTTGAACAACTGGTTGAGCACAAGAAACTGCTGAAAAAAAAAAAACTTTGGAAAATCCCTGTTTATGGTAATAATAAGTTCATGCAATGTGTAATTTCAGGCAAGCAGTCCAAGTAGTATCAGGGAGGTGAATCACAGCTGAAATTAGTCATGCTATAGCTGCCTCAAAGCTTTAAAAAATGACCCTCATATGCCCCCCACTTCCTGCTGTTAAAGATCAACCAAGTGGACGACATGAGCCTCCAAGTATTTCACTGCTGAGTTACTATGACTAGGTCCTACTCACAGGGCACACGTTGAAGCTTCGTGTATGACTTGCTTGAGTAGTGAACAGTGGGTGGAGGAAAACACATCACACCACTTCCTGCAGACATGTTAAACCACTCTATTACTCAGAGAAAAAACTCCATATCTTCCTTTCCCCTGAACTAAAACTTCAACCAAGTCAGTGTGCCTCTCCCCTACAATCCTCCTTGACACAAAAGCCAAAAATCCATCCTGTCTTCTGTTCAAGAAGCAGCAGGCAAGTAATAATCATAGACAACAGAACTGCTTATAATTCCAAACTTGTACACTGATCCTCACTGAACAGGACAATGCAAGAAAAGCCAAGATTACACAGGTCTTGCTTATTAGAAGCCACAAAAGCCACGATCAACATACAATATTAGTAAGGAACAACGACTAGAACAACTGTTATTGCCTAGGATGGAGATATAGGAACTTCACCCTTCTGAGTTAAATAAGTTCTGATTCATTTTACCATCTACAGCCTTGGGGAAAATCATCCTTCTGATTCATTTTCCTAAACTGAATTATTGCCTCTTTTGATGCTGCAGCCTGCTCTGACAACAGCACAGTGCTACAGCAGACAATGCTAGATATCTTGCACTGAAGTCAGTGACTTCAAGTTTAATTAATATCTCTATTGCATTTCAATGACTTTTGCCTTTCTCAGATTGCCAGTGTGTCCCTGTAGCCCCAGGACTGCCAAAAGGGAGCTGGCTGCCCAAAGGGAGCCATGGGAGTCACCCACAGATTTCTCTGCTGCCTGAGCATGAGCCATCCATTTACATACTATAGGCCATAGCACACTGCTAGCACCCTGTCCTGGGCAGCACATACCAAGGCTGAGCAAAGAACTGGCTGTCAGCCTCTACCTTCAGCCAGATGCTCATGGCCCTGGAGCCAATGAGTGTATTGAGAGCAACTTGCTCTCTGTATCCACATGCTCACACAGAAAGGGAACAGAATGCCAGCAACATGCATGGTAGTCCCTTCTGTCAAGCTTCCCCAGCTTCACTTAAGGGAAAACTTGTTCAAAAACTGACAAGTTAGAGAATGAAGCAGGGCCCAAATTATCTTTCTGCTTGCATCTTTTGCAATGCTACTCAGAACCCAAGGACCAGCACATAATACGCTCCAAACAAAAGTGTCTCATTAACTAAAAGTCATTTGGAAAGCAACCAAACACTCATCTATACAATTTTTTCTCCTCATTTACTAATAATTCAATGGACAGGACGTATTGCGCAGTGCTGCTGACAAGCTTGGGTCATCCGTAATCAATGCTTGACTAATAACACTTGACAACCAGCAAAGCCTGTCTGATAGAAAAATTTTGCTTGCTAGTCTAATGAAATGTGGTTGAAACTCTGGCATGTCTAAAGAGATTGAGCAGATCTCCCATTTAAGGAGAATGTTAGCATTTTCACTATTTCATGCATCAGCAAATAATAATATATTAAATAAAGTAATCTCTTTTTAAAATGCCATTTTCTGCATATATGATTCAGTATATTATTCATTTTGTACTGCAAAAGTTTTAAGACATGGTAAAATGAAAAGCTGTTTACAATATTTGAAGACTTTTCCCTTCCACTCCTCATTTTTCTTTGACTTAATTCTTTTTCCTCTGTTTGGATTTATCTTAATAATAGAGAATAAATTAATCATGGGATAGGAGCCTGTTCAACTGAAACACCTAACCCTGTGTGCTCTGTTGCCATCTAGAATACAAAAATAATTCTTTTATGCCTTTATACTGTTTGTGTTTCCAGCTTACACTAATCACCATTGTGCACTTCAGATGTTCTTCTGTTCTAGATCCAATTCTTCCTAGTCTAGCACACCATCCGCCCTTCCACGCACTTCTGTTTAGCTATGCTCATTTCCTTTTAGGCTCAATTGAGTCTTTTTTTGGCTCTTGTTCTTATTTCTGTATTTCTTCCTTGGATACAGAATTGGAGGGGTGGTGTGTGGGGTGCATTATGCATATGTATTTGTGCATATCTTCAAATAGTTCCCATCTAGTTGGTAGAAAAATAACTCTACTAAACTATCCCTTATTGCTATCTTTAATTAAATTTCTTCTCTTTTTTTCAGTTTCCCTTCTGGAGGTTAACAAAGTTTCCTGTACAACTGGATCAATATTCACATGTAAGACATGTTCCTTCATGGTTATAAACAGTGTGCCTTGCAGAAGGCTTTACTCTGTGATCTTTCCCTCATTGCTGTTCTTGCTCCGTAGATGACTATGGAAAATGTCAGTCCTTTTTTTTTTTTACTTGAGGGTAGAGGACTCCAACACTCCAATTCCCAGTGGATTAACCACTTTAAATAAAGTGCTGGCATCTGTATCTTCAGGTTTGCTTATGTTACCATTTCCTGATTTTCCATTTCTGGATAAAAGAGGTTCAACATGAAAACTGAGAAAAATAGTTGGAGAGGCATGACTTCATAGAAATGCAAACCCCCTCTTCTTTAACAGTATCAAAGAAGCAATTCACAGCAAAAACAACAACCTTGCTGTAAACCATTCACACTTCCAAACATGCTTCTGACCAGAGAAAAGGAGGAGAATCAAATGCTTGTTACAGGGGAGTTCTGATGAGCTCATGAGATGGAAAAGCTGGCACAGGAGATGTGAGATTCCAAATTGAGAGCTGTTCGGAAATCCAGGTCCTGCTTTGGGGTGGAGGTGTAAAACCAGCTCTGAAATTTGGATGTAAGTTCAAATTCCAAACAATAATGTTCTACTATGATAGTCTCAGGGATTTTAGTTTAAGCCTCTTGCAAATTTAAAAGAAAATTTCTATTTTAAAAGCTATGTCTGAACAGTTCTTAAACATGGAGCATAAACAAGATACACCCTCTAATTAGATATGAGTAGACACTAAATCATTATCCATCATAGAGTAAAAGCTCTCCTTCCTTGGCAGAAGGAAGATGAAATGTTCCCAGATACAAAATTAAAACATTCTAATAGTACTAAAATACTGAGATAAAAGAAAGACAAACCAAGAGATCTCTGAAATATTTCCATTCTTCCCTACTACTAACTACTGATAGTTAAGCATTTTATTCAGGTGTCATTAAAGTGACTGAACTTTGATAGTTCAATAACATTTGCTTTTGTAATTAATTAGTTATTTATCTCCCCTTCCTCTGTTGGCAACTCAACCTCTCTTCAAAGCTTTGTCTTTACTGCTGGTCCATAGGGCACAACAAGAGAAAGGAAGCTTGAAGCCTTGCTGAATAAAGCAACAATGTTCAGAAACGAAAGTCCAGGCTCATGCTAGCAGCAACAGCTGCCTGTAGCAGTATCTAAGTGGAGGATGTCAGGAGGACAGCTCCTGTGGAGCAACAGGAACAGCAGCAGAGTGCCCTCTCTGTTACATGCAGGTCAGATCAGTTTTGCATTTCTATTTGATTCTGGCATGGTGACAGATCTGGGCCTAAGCAATCCCAGATCAAACTCCAAGAAAACCCATCTAGAAAGAAGTTTGTTGCTACAGAAACAATTTCTGGCAAGAGGGCTCTATTAAAGTGGCCTGGGGCTTGGGGGTCAGTCCGACCCCTGTCTGCTGCTGCCGTAGGTGTCCAGATAGTGCTGAGCTGTTGGGCTCAGCCTGTCTGGGTCCCTCAGCTCAGCTCCCAGCCGTGGGCAACTTAGTGAGCACCTCTGGAGTGATTTCAGCTCTGGTAATTTCAGCTCTCAGCGATTTCTGCTCGGTGCTCGCCAGTTCCTTAGGCAGATGCAGGGACATGGAGACAGGAGAAGTCTGCATGCGGTTCCACAGAGGTGTCCTTTAATTTCAGCTCCTGTGAAGGTGGCAGAGACAGTTCTTCTGCTGAACTGGGCAGAGATGGGGGTTGATATAGGTACAGGGGTGTCGGAAATTGTCCAATGGCCAGGGTTGAAGAGAATATGACCTATAGCCTTACAAAGAGATAACAAGGGTCCAAAGGAGGAGGAGTGTTTTCTTTGGTCCAGTCACCATGACCTGGCATTTCTTACCTTGGGCAAGTGACCGCCAGGGAGACCTCGCAGGGCCTCTGACTGCTACACTCCATGGAGAGGAACAGAGGATGTACTTTAGGTAAGCTTGTTTCTCACTCTCCCTCTAACAGGGTTTTAAACCTATTGTCTACTCTTTTTCTCTTTTTCGGAAAAATTAGCTGCAGCTTCCAGAGGAAGTGCCTAAAAAGCCCTTGTTTTCCTACCCTATTAACAGAGTTCAGAATGGTGTTTTTAGTGGAGAAAAAGTGTTACAGTGGATTTATCCATTAGAGAATAAACTGCAATGTTTTTCTTAGCTGCTGTTGCTTACTAATACCTTTAGTTAAAATTATTGGTCAATTTCTTCTAAATATTAAAGCTGTTTTGTGTCTTTTAAAAAAAAAATGCCACCAGCTGTCAGGGTCAGCAGCTCTGCAAATGCTTCAGCTGGCAGAGTAATTCATAACAAGCAATAAAAACCACTCAGAATAAGCTTTATAGGAAAAACAAACATATTAGAGGAGACAAACAACTAGTTATAAGGTAATGAGCCTCACAAGGCTGCCATGTCTGGAGTTCTCTTTCCACAGTTCTTCCCTTACAAATAATTACCAAGCTGTGTAAATGTCCTCATGAGTGGACATAACTTTCTTTAGTTACCACCACACTGACACAATATAGCCATCAGCAGTGAAGCCCCAGAGCACCATGAATGCACCCTCAGGTAAGGACTAGAAAAACTGGAAGGGAAGAAATTTTCTTCTCTGTGGGAACCCAGGGCACAAGGAATATTTCTCTGTCTGCTCTGAGGGGTCCTGACCCCCAGAGAAGCACCAACTTTGGCTCTCATTCATGGAGAAAGCTTCCAAGACTTCAAGATAGACTAGAGGCCACAAAAGTGTGAAATAGATTATAGAGAGTAGTATGGCACGTCACTTGGGTGAGCAATTTAGGTTTTGGGATTTTTAGTGTGTTGCAGATGGGAACAAGATGGAGGTTTTAGGGTGGAGGCAGGTTGTTCTTCACCTTCATGTTCCTTCTTCATGGGTTTGGGTGATGTCTTGTAATTGGACAGAAAAGTCTGCATTGTGGGCTTTGAGGGGTCAGTTATTGGGTTAAAAGGGAAGATAATCTAGGTGTCATTTCTTAATTGGATAGTTTAGTCCTAAAAGACCTTGTAACAAGAGATTGTTAGCCATTTTTGCAGTGCTTTTCCAGTGCACAGTCTGCTATAGACAGTGTGCTAAACTTCAGATAACAATAAACAAGAAGCTGAAGACTGGAAAAGTCCTGTGCTTCTCCTTTTCCTGACACAGAACCAATCCAGGAGGGTTTGCCCTGACAGGGGAACCCCAGGGAGGGGCAAAAAGTGGGGCCAAGAAACCGATACTTCTCCATGCACTGTTCACTGGGATGCCAGGAAAACTCGCATTTAGAGCATCAGCTGGTTAATCTGAGTGACACCATCCACAAGGCTGGTTAGGGGAGGAAAATTTACTTTAATGCCCCCACCTTTGAACACCTGGCGCTGTGCAACTGTGCTCAGACACAGGTAGGAGGCTTCCTGTCTGTCTGACCTCAAAAGTAGCCTCAGGCTCACCCTAATCAATGATATCTAGTACAATGACACCTGTGTACACCTAGCTCTGCAGAGACTCACTTTCCTCTGTTCTCTTCCCTTTCCCCATATCCCACTTCTCTCTTTTCCTGCTGCTATAAGATTGCTTACAGTCCTCAGATCCAGAACAAAGGGACTCAATTTTTGTCCACCAACTACAAAGTGAAATAAATGCCTCTCACTGAAGGTCAAATGACACAAGTTTTTTATGAGATATTGGAACCACCAAATCTTTCTTAATTTAAAACTGTGATATTCAAATCACAATGCTGTGATGCAGACATTTTCACCTCAGCTGTCACAGAACAACATACTTGTCTGATCCTATAAACCCAACATTTTCTTGCAGTATTCTTTCTAGACCCTGTAAAGACTTTTAAAACTTTGGGGATGTACTTTCCATGTTATCATCTCACCTACAGCTATATAGCACTGAATGTTAAATAAACTGGAAATGGCATTCTTCTGCCTCTTCACTCATGTAACAGAAAGGCTTTACAAGTGCATTTGCAGGAGCAGCCTGATATGGGGGAGCAGCAACATAGGAGCAGTAAGATGGGGAGGCAGAAAGGATAGGGGCAAGGACAGTAGAAAATTTTGTTTCCTCGAAGAAATTAAATACACAGGATTGACTATCTTTCGATGGCTTCTTGATAATAGAAAATGTGAAAGAAGAAGTGGTTAGACACTCCGCTCTTCTGGGACCAGTGTGGATGCAGGGTGCTATTGTGGAAAACGTCACAGTGGGTACTGACTAACACACTGCTCAGAAAGTCCCATACTGCTCAGTGACACTGTCACGTCCTATGAGCCTACATGTAGCCATTTTTACTTATTTTACTGTTAAGTTTCCTTATATTTTTATTAATAAATATCTGCATGTGTTTTGAGCAGAAGAGGACAGGGCAAGCTGATATATTCTTCTAAATTCTCTATTTCTCAGCTTTCATCCCCATGCAACACACAAAAGAAGAAAGCATCACTCAGTGAATTGCTTTTCTTGTTTCTTTACAAAGACTGACAAGAACAGGAAAAACGTTCTCATAACAAGGACAAGCTACAATAACTAACAAAAGTTCTTTTTATCCTATTGAAAAAAAGATTAATTTCTCACCTGATGGATTTCACTTCTCTAAACAAGCCCTCAAATTTCAAGTTTTCCAAGCCAGATTCTGAACCGCAGGAAGAAAAGTGGCTTGGTGTTTGGAAAATATAGTAATTACATACACTTGAGATACAAAGACAAAACTATATAGGTTTACACAGAGCACCCACACATGAAGGTATGTGGTTTAGCAGTTTCATGTTAGGTGTAACTTTTGGCTTGTATTCTCAGGGGAAATAATGTTACTTACTCCTTCAAAATACCTTGTATCTATTCAACTAGTGCTAGTAAGTGCTCTGAAAATTACTCCAGGAACTTATCTACATGCTACTGCTCTGATTACTTGCTGCAAACAACAAACAGTTTCTCAGTTATCTTAACAATTCCCTTTCATCAATACAACTTGAACATTCAGCTCCTCTTGTGCCTAACTGAAACTCAAGAAATTTTTTTGGGGGAAAACCTTTATTCAAAGTTCCTGTTAGTAGGAACTTTGCCAAGGAAATTTTGAAGTTGTGAATTGTTTTGGACACATTGCTTTGGTTAAGTCCTTGGAGCACCTCGTTGTTTTGCTTTAACAACTCAGCTAGAAAACTGTCTTACCACCTCTCCAGGGATGAGACCTGCACAGTGATGGAAAATTAACTTGCTTTCAAGAATTAATAGATAAAAATGAAACTCACCTGTTAGCAGAGTTTATACGAAGAGGCTTTTCTTGTAATGTGAAGAGCAGGAAACTTCCCTTCTCCTCATTCGTGCTCATGCTGCTGGTGAAGCTTGTCCCCCGCCTCCAGCTGTGAGCAAGCCTGTCCGTGAAACAGCACAGGAAAGGAGGAGGAGATTGTGTTTCACCTCCCGTGCCCTTTATGGTTCATCTGTGAAGGATTCAGCCCAGCCCAGCCCTGCCCTCTCCTCCCTCACCCACTCATTCATAAGAGAGAGAGACGAGAGCGCCAAAAGCAGGCGCTGAATACAGAGATTGTGAAGTACACGGAGTGGTGTTCCCTGCCGTCCCCACGGGCACACACACTGACCAGCACAGAACTGCACTGTGATCACAGCAGCTGGTGCAGAGGCCAAATCCAGCTGCTCCCAGCTTGTCTAAACACACACAGATGTTGCTTCATGCAGGCATATTGAAAAGTATACAGTGTTAGTGCTGTCATTAGGATCACTCACAGGAAGTTGTCTAGAGCTCGAGGAGATCAGACCTTATAGCCAAACACAGCAGAAGGTGATCTCTGCACAAGGAAGTATCTTCTCCCGCTGTGAAAGAATAAGGGCTGGGGTGGGGCAGTGCCTTCCTCTCTTGTCTACACAGCCAGACAGACTACAGAGGCATAAACTGACTGAAGGCCTTGCCCAAGGCCATTCAGGAAGGGTGTAGCAGATGAAAAAGCTGACCTCCTGCTAATTCACACCCTTACTCCCACAGGAGTGAAAGCTGCACTGTGGGATATGTTGAAGTTGTCTCACTCAAACTGAAACACACACTATTTTTAAAAACACAGATACATACAAATTATACCATTGAAGCTGGAAACAAAAGCTGCAGCTCAGGCTCTAAATTGGTGTGTAACTCACCTGATGCGGTGCTCTGCCATGCAGCTGTAGGGACACCGTGGCACTGCATGGTCAGAGCAGCACCCAGCCAGAGCTCCCTTCTGCTCACTGCAATGGGCAACAGTACTCTGAGGGGCCAGACACGGTGAGTCTGGAAACAGGAATCTTCTGCAGGGAACTCCAAGATGTGTTCTGTTTCCAACCTGGTGGAAAGCAGAGTGACATAAGCACAGAAAAAAAATAGAATAAATAAACCAAAACAAGGAGAAGACACAAGAACATTTAGAAAACTTGGAAATACTCCAGGAGTACTCAGGGCTAATATCAGAAACAGTATCAAAAATAACTCCTCATTCCAGAGAGGCAAAGGGCTCTTCAGGTACAACAGGCTACCAAACAGCAGAGCCTTTCCTCTGTCAGGGCATCTGGCAGATCAGAGATCTAAAATTATCTGCAGGGTTAAGAAAGGTTTCTGAGGAGGGAAGCAGAAAAAGAAAATAGGAAGTTCTTGGGTATGGTCATGAAAGGCTGCAACAAGCAGAGAACTATTGTTTGCAGGCTCACCGTGCTGCTTGAAGGACATCAGAGGTCAGGCAGCACACCTGGCTGAACAGACAAGGCATAGTCTCCTGGAAGCACAGCCAGAGGCTGAACACCCTCTGTAATATTAAGAAATATGAATGGTTGGTCTCAAATTTATTAGGACTACTGGGAATACTCCCTCTTCTGATTAATTTTTGTTGTTGTTATTGTTTATAATGGGATTTAGAGGCTTGGGCCATCTGCCCTCATCACTTCCAAGGAGGCAGAGCCATGTGTTGCCACCTCCATCACACACAGCTGCTGCATGTTGACAATATTTAAAACACTCAAAATGAAAAGAAATAAGATTTTTGTAGCCTTTTATCTCCATAAATTATACAGTAGTTATTAAAGCTGACAAACAGCTATTACTCGCTGCAAGCAGCAATTCTAGCTTTTCGCTCACTTTGGTCAAATAATTTTAATGTGTGTGATGATTAAGTAACGCTGTTGAACTGAATTGCTCCTGGCTTGCGTATGTCAAAATCAGGAGCAGCTAGATTCAAAAAGAATGGAGCTAAACTGGTGTTATAAATGTCACAGATGCCATGGAAATGCAGCAGGAAGGAGGTAATCTAGATCTTTTCCTTACCCATTGAGAAAAACTAGACTAGCTCCTCTAGAGTTTCAAATTCTCTTAAATTGCCATTAAGGAAGATTCTGCCTCACCTCTTGCAATATCTCCATTCCATTGCTAGGGCTGTTCTTAAGAAGATTGCACTAATATAAAAATCTTTACCTTCCATGTTTCAAATTAATTTATCTTTTTATTGCCCTTCTATGAATGTACATGAAAAACAGACTATTGCTACCTTTCTCAGTATCGATCATTTAAATGTCTGAGGATTAATCATGCTGTCTCTCTTTGATTTTTTGCAAATTAAGCAACCCTATTTTTCCAGTGTTTTTTGTAGATCATGTTTTCCAGGCCTCTGCTCACCCACACTGGTCTCATTTCCAGTCATCAGCGTCTCTCCTTAAGCACATTCCAGCAGAGGCCCTTTCTGTCAGTGTTGACATTGATTCCAAGTACCTGATCTATGCTTTGCCTATGAGGGTCAACTTTCTAATGAAATTTGCTTTAAATGCTTTCAAGCACCCATTTTGGTGAGGAAAAGAGGAAAACAAGTAAGTTCTCTCTTTTGCAGTGACAAGCCACAGAGACATTCCCATTTTCTATAGCTGAGTAACAAGAATTTGCTAATGCTCTTCCTGGTGGCACCCTAGAGTCCCTGCTGGGCCAGCTCTTACACTGCCCAGTGGGGTGGCTGTGCAGCAGAACACTTCACTTGTTGCAGAGGTTTCACTACAACCAGGCCTCTTGCTTTATCCAGCCGTTGTCCTCCTATTTTCCTTTGCTTTTGCTGTTGTTCCTGTCTGCACTGCACCATGTGTTATTTTTAATCTTTCCCACAAGTTAGAAGGGCAACAGGTTGTTCACAGGAACAGGTGAACTTCAAGCAGGAAGTTCTCTCTGTCCTTGCTATGCTGGTGTTTTCCAAGCTCCTTTAAAATTTAAATTCAAAAGCACTCAAAATGTCCTACTTTTGCCCACCTCAGTAGAGGCAGGAACCTGGAAGGGCAGCAAGGACTCAATAGGCTAGATAGGAACAGCAAGTCATCTCCACAGGGTTGGGTTTTTTTGCCAGGTAACATTTGCCTCTCTAACTCTTTCCTGAGGCAGGAAACGTGTTTTGTTTACACTGAATATGCAATTTGACAATCTTTTGCACCTAGACTGCCAATAGCCAACACAGAGGCTTCATTTTGCACACTAGAAATGGGCTTCATAGGGGTGAACTTGGCAACCAAGTAAAACCAAGTATGGTGGCCACATGTGGATTACCAGTCGTCATCTGCAGAGGATCAAGGACCTGCAGAGGATCAGCTGGCCCGTCCATGAGTGCTCTGTGGTACAGCTGCAAGCCCCCACTTCTTCCCTTTGCCTGTAAAGGCAGAAAGGCCTCACTCTCACAGAGGAGTGAAGAGTGAGGTGGTGTGAGCATAACACAGCTATCCAGGAGCTCTGTCCATTTCTGTTTGCAACACTGAACAGCGCAGATGCAGACACGAAGGAAGTGGAGAACGTAGAAATTTCTATGCCAAGACTATCAGAATGAATAAAAAAGTTTTTTCAACATCTCGGCATCAAGGACAGTGAAATTATTGGTAGCCATTACAGCTTCTTCAGAATCCAGGCTAAAATACCTCTGCTCTTGTTATCTACAGAGCAGACTGAATTAATTCTTCCCCAGTTATGGTGCCTCTAGAGACACAGGCTTTGGCTACAAAGACCCATGGATGATTGTGGATGTGTTGGTACATTATAAATGCAGGCATGAACTTCCATTCAATTATGGAAAAGAAGGCTGGCCACAGGTAAGTGGAGTTCATCAAGAGGGACAGCCATGTGGACTTGATCTCCTGTGCTGCTCCTCTTCCCCCTATTAACATGGATTTGGGAATTTTAGTTTGAAAAGGACCGTAGTCATAAGATAGTCAATACACCAGTGTCCCAATGCAGTGAGGAAGATGGGGCCTAAATGCCCTTCAAGGACAAAATAGTCCCCAATCTTCTATCAAAGTATGAATGTTCATAGTTCCTCAGATAATGGTGTTTGCCATAAAACACTGCTACAGACATCATGCTAAAAACAATAGACAGGGGTCACTGAGTTCACTTTTTGCTTTCTCACATTCAGTGTTAGATTCCCAAAGTATATTTTCCTTTTCTGGATAAACTGCATTGAACAAATATAACCTGAGAGTTCAACATGTAAAGGGAACATTTCTTCTGATTTTAGTCACAAAAATTAATGTGGATGAAATTTGATACAATAAAGTCCTGTTGGTATCTGTTTTCATTCATTTGCCTGATTACATAAGGAGAGAACAAGCACATGTTCATATAGGGCAGGGTGGGAATTCAGGATCTGCTAAATGGGACTCTGTTACCATTGATATGGCTGGTTAAATAAACAAGGAAAAGGATCTGTGTTCACGGGAGCTAATGTAGGTAATAGAACCAGGCTTCAGGAATTCCAAGTTTTTTCAATTAAAGAGGCCAAAATAAGAAAGGAAGGAAATTCTAAAACAATGAAAATGCTGTAGAAACTTGTTCTGTCAAAAATACTGAAGACTAAATAGAAACACTATTGCCTCAATATGCAAAAAGTGACAAGTATCTTCTTAAATGCATCATCCTATGAGTGTTTTTAAGTGTTAGCTTGTTCCCACAGAGAATAAAGATAATACTCTGGGGTGAAGAACAGAAAGATGTCTAGTGCTGGCAAGGAGAAGTAACAAAGGAAGGAAGTTTGCTGGAAGTGAAAAGAGCTTGTAGCTGGTTGCACTATCTGAGCTGTAGGACAGGATCTAGCAATAAAGCTCCTTCAAACATTTCATGCAAAGAATTTTCTACCAACACACTATGTGGTTGTTGTTGGAAGCAGTAATTTTAAGAGCACACCAAAACACTAAAAATATACTGCTCCCCATCAAACATACATAACCCCACCTCCTTCAAGCCTCAGCTATCCAGGAACAAAATGCCACTGTGTGGAAACACAAGACGAAATAGCAATAGCAGAGGGATCCTCTTGCCAGTGAAGGTACCAAAGCTGTGTTCTGGAGTACACACAATGGTTCCCTCGCTGGATGCTGCTTTAAAACTTTTGTGCTCTAACTGCTCTAAAGC